GGCGAGAAGCGGGTCACACCCTGGACAGGTCGCCAGTCTGTCGCAGTGAAATGAGTCAGCAGTTTTTCCATTAGATAGAGTCTATCTAAGGCTATTACTTTTTGAGGCTCCAGATAGATTTGTTTTTTGGTTTTTGGTCCAATATGGCTCTTTCAACAATTTGGGTTGCCGAGCCTTGAGATATAGACCCACAGCAAACTCTTGCTACTGTGTAACTGATGCCAATGAGAAAGTGGCTGCACAAGTTTAGATTTCAGGAGAGCTAGAACAGAAATCAAGTTTACCATAAACTAAATAATCATCATTTTGGTGAAAAGTGAACCTCAAGCCAGTTGTGAAGCAGAGAGATGGAGGTGTCATGATATGGGACAGCAACACCTGATCAGCTCATCATCATCAAATGTATCAGAGGGAGCTTGAAAAATGTCAGATCATATGTACAAAAATAAATACAACAGAACTGTACCTGTAATATCACAATTATCCAAAACATACCAGTAAACTGGTTGAGAATTTTGAAAAATACTCGTAGGATAAACCAGGAATAGTGCAAAAGGCAAAAACCATAAATGTGTCCTCTCCTTCAGGATGGAGTAAATTACATTTTTACCGCATCACATTTTCTGTTTTTTTTTCTTACATGATCATTGCACCATCTTGTGCATAATATTTAAATGTCTGTACACTGAAACAACACTTTCTGTTGATGCCACCTAGTGACTTGTAATCATTGCAGACAGAATGTCTGCATAGTGTAACATGAGACATTGGGAACTGACAGTTGTGTGTCTCTTATGTAATTTTTGTGTTCTGAAGATTAGCAATGGAAATGATTAAGGTTTATTTCAAATTTTACTCAATTTTTTTATCCAAAAGTTCAGTCGCAGTCATGCCTGTGCATCAGATTACAAAAGGTTTAGTATCAGAGGCATGGAAGTGCGATGCATTTATTTTTTACATATGACCAACATTCAGGACAAAGATGCAGCTGTGTGAGATGTAGGACAGAAGGAGCTAACAAAGAAACAGCCGAAGCTTTTTAAATTCTCACCTCAGAAATATGCTTCCCCTTCATTCTTTGTGTTGTTCTTGTTTCTTGCCTTACTACACTAAATGTGCCTTTTATGTTGTTGTTGTTTGCCAGATTAGCTTTGTGAATCAATCATTTAGGTACAAAGAAACTACATTAAATGTATAATGTTGCATTTTTTCCAGTCAAACAAAAGTTGAGCACCAAGTTAATTTAGATCCTTGGATTTAGTCAGATGTTTTCTTACATTGACAATACATTTTGTCAAAAATGATTAATAAATAATTGTTAGTTTAGTTTTAGAATAGTTCTTCTTGAACAGGACAAATTTGGTTGACTGTTGCATTTTTCTTATGCTTTTAGAAGAGTTGTTGCTCGCTTGTTGGCCATCATGTCGACTCAGCCGGCTGTGACGGTGCTGTTTTACACGGGCAAGAAAAACACTACAGAGTGGATTTGGACCCAACCGATGTCAAAGTGCACTTTGCCTTTGCTAAACTGAACACACTCGTCACCGCTGCTCTGTTTAAAGTGAGTGTGAGTGTGAGTGGACTGAGAGAGTTTGGGAGAGACAGCACTTTGCTGTCATTAGGCGAGATCATGTAAAGATAGTATGACTGGGTTAATTTTTAATGTCCAGCCTTTGGAAATATAAAATATACATCCAACCCTTGTTGGACATGAAACAGACTCTTTACATCTCTCTTCCACACTTTGTCTCTTTCTCTGCCTCACTAGTCAACCTTCCTGTCTCTCTGTTATATACTTCCTTTTTTTGATCCATGCTTTTCTTTCTCTCTGTTTCAGCCTCTCAGCGTGCATGGCCTTGTTTCACTCTCTGTCTGGTCGGGTTTTCTCTCTTCTTACTTGGCGTCTGTCCACCCCTGTTCCTCCTCTGAATGTTTGCCCTGAGAACCAGACAGAGGGAAGGTTTTGTTTGATGATCTCACTGGAAAGCGCTTGAAGCGTTGCCGTTTTCACTCTGATTCTTCTATTCTCCTTCTCCCTCCCTGTCTGTTTGTGTTTGCTTGTTATATTTAACAGCTTGGTAGCAATGTTGTCACGACAACTTAGAAATCCTTAAGAGATATGGCCAAATAAACACCAACAGAGATGTGGAGCTTTTGCAGAAAGAGGAAAGTCTTTCTATCTGTTCTTGTGTTTTCTCTCTATTTCTACGGACAAACCAATGGTGCATGACTCCAGAAAACTAAAACTATGCTTTCAAACATCTTCAAACAACTATAGCAACATCACAAATTATTAACCCCACAAACAGACAGAAGGAATTCAGACAGACACATTCACGCGCCCCAGTTGCAGGCTGTCATAAAGACAATCATGTATTGCACATGCACATGTTTCTTTTGAGAAGAATGGACAATGATTGTTGAATGAAGGACAACTTAAAGGCCCCAGAGATCATAAACTGAACGCTGCTGCTGATATTTACAGGTCATGGTTGAATTTTAATCTCACTTTACGATGAACATATGCAGCATCAAGATTACAGTACCTCTAAAGGAGGCTATTTTATTTCATAGTCCTATGCTTTCCCACTTCCCATTTATGTCCATATTTTAAGACATTGGGACACAACTAAATAATGATTTATTTGTTAAAATGTGTCAAATAGTGATATATATTTTTATTTGTCTTTATATAAAAAATGCTACTCGTTAAGCAAAAGATATAAGCAAAAATATGTTTTGTTGCTGTTTGGACTCTGTGACAGCTTGACTTTGCTGCAGTGGCTGAAATAACTAAATGGTCGACTTTCTGTAATCCTTTTCTTCTGAGAGATACTTTATGGGTTACTGTATGGTGCAGTTAAAGTAACCCACACAACGCATGTCAAGATCTGGGCTTTGACTTGATTTTACGTTTCAATTCTGCTTCAGATTCAATATGTTTTGACAGTCTCACATTTTCCTCAAACAAACTTTGGTATATGGTGGAATTCATACTGGATTTTATGATGGGAAGCTGGGCAAGTCCAGCTGCACCAAACCATCCCCTAATCATGCCTCTTCCTCTTCCTCCATGCTTCACAGCCTGCATGAGGTTATTTTAATATAATACTGAATTTGGTTTATTTGGTAGTTTTAGTGTAAACAAAAAAAAACAAAAACAAAAAAAATACAATTTAGACTTTCCAAAGATTTCCTCTTTGAACACATTTCATTAAAGTTAAACTTGTGTTGTCGTTTCTAATTGTTGTGGCACTTTTTTGGGGACTTCATTGAATAAATCTGCTTGGAAAGCCACACATGGGCATTTTTTAATGTTTTCCACGTGTTGACTATTTTTATTCGATAACAAAATGGCTGATTTAAAATTCTTCTAATCTTTTGAAAATAAATAAAAGGCCTTAAAGGTCATTTTTTAATTATAAATGTCATATTCACATGACTGTAAATATGAGACATCTTGCTAGTGCATTTGATAATTTAGCAGTCCTCCTGTACTGTGTTGGTAGGATGTGCTTTTATGTGAACTCTTCTGTGTAATGTGCAGTTGTGTGCTTGTTTCATGTCTAATTATGTTTCATTGTGGAAAGCATTGACCTGAAATTTCCATCTTCATCTATTTTGCATTTCATGTTCATGTTTTTTTTTTGTTGCTTATTTTAAGGGTGAACTCAGGTATTATAATCAGAAATGTTAACTACATGCAGTCCCTTAATGTACACACAGAGATGTAAGATTATGTTTCATTGTAAAATTATTCTGTCCCTTTTAAAGATTCTAAAAATCTAAATGACGTGTCTGATAAAATCCTATTTTTGCCTCATATCAATGAAAAAGAATATTTTAAACTGAAATGCCAACCTTCAGAAAAGATTGGTGATTCTATTTCAGCGACCACACAGAGTGTTTGGTCGTCTTTTTGTATAAATTACTACTGTGCAGCTTAAAAGGTCAGGAAACCTTTGCAGGTGTTTTAAGTTTATTGGCTAATTAGGCTGTGATGCCTTAAGTTTCTTATATGCAACCTCTTCACAATATTCTTATCTTCTGTGACTGTATTGTTTTTTTTAATCTGTAAGCCATTATCACCAAAATCAGAAGTAATAAAGGTTTGCAATGTTTCATAAAATGTGAAATTAATCTATTTCACATAAAATTTAACATTTTTATCAAATTATAAGTGCTGGATATATGTGTGATCAGTATGAATTGTTTAACAGCTGCATGAGTGCAGCTGAATAAAACAAGAACATATTTAGCAACTGGTTGACCGTGTGGCAGCTCGACATTGTTGTTGACCAGCAGTTTTACTACTTTTGTTTCCATCATGTGGCCAAGGACTCAGCAGCAGCTGTGGCTCCGTTTGTGTGTTGATGAGAAAAGGGTTAGCGAAACACATCAAGGGCAAATGCTGGGTTTTATTGGATCAATGAGTCTTGCATAACTGAGCACAGAATATTCTGGCCCTGGGTGGCGTGATGAGAAGCTGTGATGCATGTGAAACGATGAGACTTCAGTCTTGGAAATACTTACAGCTTTATCATTTACTATAATTTATAATCAAAGGTTATGACAAGAATGAAGTATGAAAATATGATAAGGTGGCTGTATGAGCACAGAAACATTTAGGTTGTTATGAAGTGTGTTGATGTGGAGGTGATTAATATTGATGGACTATTGATTGCTATGAGCCGGCTCTGTGTTTATGAACCACAGCGGCTGAGTCAACACTATAAATACAGTAACTACATCAGCGCCAAGTGGCTAAAAAGTTGCAGACACAGTTCTTTAAGTTAGTGGCTTATACTCCAGTGAAATAATGTGTGCAGCACAGGAATATGGTCCAACTGGTCATTGTCTTTAAAATGTGTGCTGGAACAACTACCAGCTGCAACTGTTTGTGTGGTTTGTTGTTTCTTGCAGATGTCACACTGAAGTAATGGTTGACGTATATCTGCACAAGACACTAGACATTTCTTTTGCTTTTTGCTGCTTTACAGAAAGAGACCAAAGGCCAGTTCCTGTTGGACCATGTTTGTAATCACTACAACCTGCTGGAGAAGGACTACTTTGGTATACGATACGTAGATCCTGAGAAACAAAGGGTAACTATGAAACACAAAATGGACTGTTTTCATCTTTCTTTCACATCATTCAGTCAATTTCGGTGACAGGTGGTGAAGGATAAAAGATAAAGCTATATTTTTCTGCTTAAATATAAAACCCCCCCACAGTAAATCACCTATTTGTGCATCTTCAAAGGCTTGTAAACACGAAATCAAGTCAAATCATGTTTGATTTGTGTAGCATAGTTCAGCAACAAGGTATTTCAAAGTGCTTTACATCATAAAACCACAAAAATACAAAGTCATAGCACATACAGTCAACAATTGAAACATTTGATTTTGTCAAATGCCATTGTTACACCTCAGATTATTGATTATTGTTTCACTGATTATGTTTCAAGAGCAACGCTAAACAGGCGGTTTTTGAAAAGCGAATGTATTTGGTTTAAAAATGTAAATACTAAATTTTGATGCTTAAATGAGAATCCGATCTCATCTTGCTTCACAAAAGTCTGAAAATCAGTCACTGTCTCCTTATGTTCAGGCATGAGCATCCTCTGCTTTCTTAAAATAATATATTCAATCAAATCAAAATAAGTGAAAACTAAAGCCATTCAAAGAAGCACTGATTAGTGTTTTTTCAGCAGACCTTGCAGGAATGTCTCCAGGAGCTGCTGGTGACGTTTTACCTCTATTAACAAAATGAAATCGTCAGCAGAAGAACAATCGCAAACAGAATCACACTCACTGAGAGAAAGTAGTAGCACTGAGTCAGCGCTGCCAGAATGGCTCTGTTAGATATTACTCAGACAGCAGTGGGTGCATTACATTACAGGCTCAAGTGACAAACAATCAAGATCAGGCTCAATATTTCAAACAGCCTGCGCACACAGACGAGACCAGATGCTTCATTTCAGCTACACTGAATTGACAGTGAGAAAAACACACCAACACACAGCAAATATTGTTGGAAAATAATACTGCAGACAGCTCATTAAACCAAACATAAACAATAAAAGTTTATAGGTTTTGTATTCCAAGAGAGGATGACTCAAAAGTACTTTAAAATCCACATAGAAGTTGAATAAACTATCACTAATTAGAGATATTCTGTTCAAGAAACTGTCAATAAACTTTTCCTCTCAGTGTGACAAAAAAGAACTTCTAAACTACTACTGAAGTCAAATTAGAAATCGTATTGAACAAAAACTGTCTATTTGCAGTAAAACAAAACAAAATAATTTCACTGAATTTTGATACAGATTCCATCAAACAATTTTATATGTGAAGAGGTCACTAAAACACAGATGTCATGTTGCATAAGCAACTTTAAACAAAAAGGAAAGAGAATAGAAATGTCTGCATAAATATGACGTTCTCTTCATTTGCCTTGCTCTTTCAAGAGGTGTGACATTTTTAAGTTTGCTTCATTTTGACTTTCATTCATGTCCCATTTTTCTCTCTTTCAGCACTGGCTGGAGCCCAACAAGCCTGTGGTGAAGCAAATGAAGTGTAAGTGTCCCTTCTGCTCACCTTGTTGCATTAGGGCCTCTGGAAATGCAACAGCGAGTGTACCACAGTGCCCTCCATAATGACCAGCAGCCTTGGTACAGAAAGCAATGCATCAGAAGCTAACAGATCTTTAACTGTTGGAGATTTCTTACCTCCTTTATCATCTTATTGTATGTAAAACTAATATCAAATGGGTGACATCTCTTAGAGTGAGCATTTATTTATTGTCTGTCCTTTTGTATCATCATCCGTCATGCAAGTTTCTTCCCTGGATTTTGACTTCTTTGCCAGCTTCAGGTTAGAACACAGAGGCAGATGGGAAAAAATAATATCCTCAGAAAACTCTTGAGTCATAAGTTCTTGGACAGGAGGTGTAATATTAAATAGATTCTTCCAAGGTTTGTGTACAGGGTGGTTGAAACTATAAAACCTTGTTGGACTCTGGCCACTTGACCAGAGTCCAACAAGGTTTTGTCAAAGATGTTGCAGAGACTTTGACCCTGAAATATGGCAGCTGCTGACTGAGTATCGCATCTCCACTAAGCCATGATGAGCCTAATTTTTTATATTAATTTCAAAACTTCAAAAAATGTCATTGTTCTAATTTCAAAACTTAGAACAATGAATTTTAGCACAATCAATGTGCTAAATCAAATTTAGCACATCACTTGTGATCAAGATTGAAAAATTCTGCGAAATAACAAGAAAAAAAAAAAGATTTAGAATGATGTTTGCGAAAACTACCTGTTGAGTACAGCAGTATCAGGAAAATAACATGCTAAAAACACTCCTGCGCATCAGCTGAGGTGTAGGACAATCTGGACACATGTACCACCATGACAAATAAAAGGAACATTAACATTCGCCTCGGTTCTTACAGGCATCTTTTGGAAATGTCTGAATGAGTCAGCATTACATTATTCAAGCTTGTTTGTCACAGTTTCAGTTCTTTTAAAGTTTTAATTTACTGTTTTTTGGCAGTCAGAGCAAGGGAAGTGGCAAGTTTGAGCCAGTTTCTATTTTTCTGCAGCCATGTCCTGACTTAGTAAGATCAACACAGAGATGCTTTATTTAAATGTCATGTTCTCTTATCTTTCCAATGTTGAAGAGAGGCTAGGAGCAGCAGACCTCCATGGAAAAAAGATTTGGTGGATTGCCAATTCAAATTCACACTTTGGTTAATTTTAGAAAGTTAAGTACAAACTTAAACAACTTCAAATATTTTAGCTAAATGTTTAATACTCATATTACTCTAATAGAAGTTAAACTTGTTCTAAGACTCCCACAGCTTTCCCAATAAATGGGGAAGGTACTGTGTGTTTTTTGTGCCTGAATGTATTTGCTTGTTCTTTGCCTGTGTCTTCAGACGTTCATTTAAGCGTAAGCAGGTTAAATCTGAAGCAAGTAGGCAGCACCACAGTGACCCGCTGTCATAAGTTCAGGCACAAACAGGATAAAAGATGTTTTTTTTGTAGCCGTCCTTAAGGAGGGAAACGAGACGGAGCGACGGAGGACAAAGTGACAGGACTGTGTTTTTGCTCAGAGGTACATAGATAAGGAGGGTTGCTTTCTGTGGAAGTCTGCATAAATATTTAAAAGCTCCTGGAAAAATGAAGAGAGGTTGCTTTTGCTCTATGGGAAATTAGCCACATTTATGGCTGCTAACAACAGCCTTGCAGATTGGGATTGCATCCCAGCAGCTGTGTGTGGCATTTCTTTGTTTTGGACTGGGGGGAGTTTGCCAGCACCTTCCTGAGTTTCACTCAGAGTTTGGTACTTTAAAAGCTGCTTGACTTATGAGATCAGATTCATTGTTCTGAGCTGGCACATGGTGGCATTATAATTTAATGGACTGAAGTGTTAAATCTTCTGTCATATTTCTTATGTTTTGTTTAGAATAAACAAACATTACCTGTTTGGACACATTAGTTGCAGAAAGACAGACTTCAGACTTAAATGTCTTTATGCAGAATACTTAAATATACTGTGCTGTATATGCTATCATATTACCATCAAAAAATACTCGGTTTTACAAAAATAGCCAGTTTGCACCATAAAAGATGCTTTCATTTGATCGGCTTCTGGAGTATTTTGCAGTAGGTAAAGGATTTATTCATGTCTGCTCACAATAAGTTAGCAAACCAGTCTTCAGACAAGTATTTTCTTGTAGTCTCTGTTGTGATGTTTGTAACCTGATATGTGACGTTCAGGCTGTTTACTTCAAGCTCTGTGTTTACTGCCAGCGATGCAGATACTGAGCCTATTGAATCCGTACTTATTGAGAAACAGTTTCAAATTTCCTTGCAGCAAGTTGCGGGACATATTTAATTTTGGTAAAGCTAAAATGACATCAAGGGAAAAAAATCCGCCTTTGCTTGATGAAAAATTTAAACAAAATCCACTTTGGGGGTTTGGAGATCTTCCTTACAAACTCCAGGTTTAATGTTTCTTGGCTTCCATGTTTTTCATCCATCTTTTTTTGTGTTCTCTCATAATTTTCCTTTTAGTCTGGATGTTCTCTTCATTTATTTCTTCCTTCCTATGTCCTCAATTCGCTATCTGAAGTTCACCCACTCTTTTAATGACAGCACTGTTCTTTCTTTCTGTCCCGTCATAAATTAATAAAAGAGCTATTAGTTGCATATTCTCCCTCTATGAAAATGGGAGACTGTGGATATCTCTGCAAACTGAAAGGGGATGTTGGGAGAGTAATAAAGCCAATATATTCCAGGGTTAATTCAGACTGACTGAGCGACACTGATTGATAATGCAGCTAAAGAGGGAAGTCACATTAGTGAATAGAATAGTAGAAATTGACAAGTTTGAGATGAAAAAAGCTGACAGAGACTGAAAGAAGGAGAAAGAAAAGAAAGAAGAGGATGGAGGAAGAGCGCTGAAAAGATTGGATTTGAAATGACACATCAGCTCTGCATGTAGCAGGATTTTTCTCCCTAAATTGGGTTTTGGTGGCTTGTGTTTTCAGGAGTCTTTGTGGTTCTTGGCTTACGCACATCGGTAGACGTCACATTCGCCCGACGTTTGTACCAACGGCCTTTCTCAAGAATGTTTTCAGCGACACTGTTGCCATCCAATAAGCCCGAGCAAATAAGCAGCTCAAGTTCTTTGGGAGCTGGTGGGAGGATTGCATCTTTCACATTGCTCAGCATGTATTATGTAGATGTGGGCTGTTTTCCCCCCCCCCTTTCTTTCATGGCTAGATAATACCATAGGGGCTCCTGCTTTTAAAGGCAGGCTGGAGGGGGCACACTGTGAAGATTACTGGTTAGAGGATATTAATTTCTTCCTCTGTAACGCTCCTTTTCAAACATTTAATGTTGGGATTTTCTATCTGTTTGTGTCCCTTCTAAAACTGCATAAAAGTAGGCTGCAGATTCATTGGATACAAAAGTTATGGCTCTCACACAGAGACACCTGTTTTGGGTTTAACAGAAAATCAGTACACGCTGCTTTATGACTTTCTGTCATAATCAAATGAGACACACAATTTTTTTTTTTTTGTTCTCAACTTTTTTTTTTGCTTTTGTTCTTATTTGTCATTACTCTAAACTTTGTCTACACTCATTTACCTTAAGGTTAAAAAAATGGATAAAATGCAAGAATTGATTAATCTGCGACACATTTAAGTCCATAAACTATCCAAATCAATCTAGCCCTTTGTGAAAATACATGCCTCCCTTTTCTGTAGCGGTGAATTAGCCACATTGTTTTGGTACAGTTTCAGTTCACACATCCAGGCCTGACTACTGATTGACCTGCAGCAATAATTTAAATGGGAACTGTCTAACAGTAAGACGTGAACGGCGCAGATTAAAACTACTTTTTGAAAACATTTCTTTATTAGGAATGTTTTTTATTAGTTTTATGTAATATTCTACTGTTTAATATTATGTTTTCATTAGCTGTAATCAGAAAATCCTCAACTAACAGGAAGAAAGTCACTGAGAGCATCACCTAAATCTACAATGTGTTAAACTTAGTGAGCTGAGTTAGAGAAACAAATAAACTTTTCAATAATATTCAAATGTAATAAAAACGATTGTGTTGGTGTCTCTTGTCCTCAGCAGCTCTGCAGCCGTTCACAATGTGCTTCCGGGTCAAGTTCTACCCCCACGAGCCAATGAAAATTAAGGAGGAGCTCACCAGGTAAAACCTAACACAGATTATTGTAATTTATTTATGTAGAAATTATTTAGTTCTGTGCAAGAGATAGTTTTTTGCTTGCAGGAAAGTGTAAAGCAAATGGTCGCATGCATATTCACACAAATGTTAAAAATATAAAACCCAAATAGAAATAAGGACAAATTTATAACAGAAGAAAAAGTTGAACCAGGTTGACTTTTTATCACATCAAAAATCCTTTTTTTGTGAAAAACTGAAGCAATGCTGTACTTGCAAGAGAAACCTGTAAACATACTATTATCCATGTGCCAGTAGCACCATGTAGCAACAATATGCACAAAGATGATTCATGTCAGGAGCTTATGTGAGACTTCAAAAGGAGAGAAACAATGGAAAAAAAATTATCTTTAAATCAAATAAATGTTAAAAAGAACTACAAACATGCAAACAACTGATATCACATAAAAAGGTGAACGTTATATGAAGTGAACATGCTGAGTCTGAGTCATGTATCAGTCACACCCTGCATTGACACACAAACATCTTCTCACTGCATCAGTGCAGATTCTCAGCCGTCTAGGACACAATATCCAGAATGCTTAAATTAATTAACATGTTGAATTCTAAAAAAAAATCAAGAAAAGGAGTCCAGATGCCTCTTGAGTATCTTGAAGCTGCTCACCAGTGAAGCTGGTTAGGAGAGAGAAGAGCTCAGGAAGAACGAGTTGTTTCCACTGCCAGCTTCAGTTCTTAGAGGTTTCTCATCTGCTGAGTGTCATAAAAATTATATTTTCCTAATAACAAAGTTCTTTTATTTATGGTTTTTTTCTACTTTATACAAATAGCAACCCAAAAAGGACACAAGTACCACTAACTTAGAGCTTTGATGACAGTGACAAAAAATAAGGTATATTGTAAATACATAAATGAAAATAATGATAAATTAAAAAAAATAATAAAAATTTAAATAAAAAGTGAACTATTTGTTGCTCAGAGCACCGCATATTGAAAAGATCTGCAGACTGACACAAAAAGTCAGAAAATGTAATAAGAAATTGATGTGAATCCCACCAGAGAAGAATTTCATCATTGCATTTAGGCTTATACATGCACGCAGCTGCAGCCTATAAATAAAACTGTTTAGAGATTGCGGCAGTCTTTTATCTCTCCATTCAATCTGTGATGCTGTCCTTCGGCCACTTTTCACCGTCCAAGCCGAATCGGCTGGATCTCATGGATAACATCTCTCTGGTTGATGTGATCTCGCATGCAAACTCATCTGCATCCATAGCAACAAGTGGCTCCGGTTCCAGAATGGCTGTCATTTTTTTTTTTTGTCTCTGTGGTGAAACCAGACAAATCAGCATGTTAGCAGCATGGATACGTCTGCGGTGAAGCTGTTTCTATAGTAACAGCAGCACCGCTCTGCGGTGTGGTCTGTGTCGCTGTGGCAGGGATCCTGTTTAAATAATTCTTTAAAAAAAACGAAAGAAAAACTGTTAACTGTGGATGAATTCAAAACAGACATAAATGCATATTTTAAGGATATTTTTTCGTGCAAATCAAATAATTTTTCTCTGTTCATTGGTCATGAGTCGCTTTGTGGTCGTCTGTATTCTGCCAGGTATCTCCTGTACCTCCAGCTGAAGAGAGACATCTACCACGGCCGCCTCCTGTGTCCGTTTGCTGAGGCGGCGTACCTGGGAGCCTGCATCGTACAGGGTGAGGCGGACCAGAGCAACATGGAAACCATGTGTGATCATGCAGTCTCTGCTGCTGCTAGAAGAATTATTTGTTTTAGGCATTATACTCATCTTTAGCAGGGGGAAATGTGCCCAGCTCTGCATGGTGTTTCAGCTTAATCATCTTTACAAAGAGCAAACCCTTATATCTTGAAAATCAAATCCTTACAAATTACCAAAAGTGAAAATGTGACAATGCTGTACATAAAACAGAATGTCCCTTAAGCTATTTTCCAAAATGATGGACTGTCTGAAATAATTTTTCATTGTCGAAGCATTTAGTTCTTGCCCATTAACCTGCTGCAGCTGAAGTTATTAGACTTATCTTATAATCCCTCATTTTAAAACACCAAGAGATCTCTGTAAACCTCTGGGAATAGGGTTTAAAAATGTGTTTTTTTTTTTCCTTCTCTCAATTAACAGTAGCAGATAAACGTCATATTACAGCCACTTTGATATGGATTAGGAAGCTCTACCATATAAATGAAGCCTCCTGGCTGATCCACACATCTCTGAGCTGTGCTAACATCGTCTCATTGGCTCATGTCCTCAGAGAGCAGAGTGAGGCTCGCTCAGTTATCTCAACCCACAGCGTGTCTGCAGCGTATCATTGGCTGCTCTGACTAACGAGGACACGTCCCCATCACGCTTTGTCAAGGTGTTGATTAGGGAGCTGCAGAGCAGTTTGAGGATTATTGTTAAATTAAACTCTGGGCAAGTTTTTCATTTAACCTTTGTTATGGTTATTAATTAAGAATGGATCCAGAAATAAGTGTGGGTGAGAGGGATTTGCTCTGAATCCAATAAGCAATTTTCCCTCAGCTGCACACTGACTGTTAAATACAGCAAAATAAAATGTTGGTCATTTTTATTCTAGCTGCAAGTTTATTGACGAACAAATGACTTGTCTCTTTTGGGCATAATTTAGTGTGTTTTTGTTTTTTTTATTACATTCGACATCACTCTCTGTCAAATACTACTAATTTTGGAAATCATGACCTACGATAAGACAAGGTTCTGACTTATTTAAGGAAATCACAAAGGTGTGTGTGTCTTTCTTTTCAGTGTATGCAAACCTCTGGTTTCAACTTCACATCGAGCAAAACATAATTGTCTCAATTGCACAGCCTTGTGGTACACCACAAGGCTGTACAGTTTTGTTCACAAGAACAATGTGCTTCTTGTTCCGGTGCAAGAAGCACTTTTATTGTTGACGTATATAAACTGGAAGCTGCCAGATAAATGTTATTAAAATCAGCCTAGACTTGTTTCTCAAATCTGGAGCATGTATTCAAACACTCAAGAACTGAGACATGATGGGACAAATCTGAATGCCGCCTCAAACTTCTTCTGTAAATAGTTTCTTCAGAAAGAACAAAAGGAGGATTCAACAAAAAGTCTGTAAGACTTGAGAAGCTTATGTGACTTGCCTCCATATTTTCCTCTAAGATGATCTATTTTACAAAAACAATGCTGCCAGATGTCAGAAATATGAAATACATTTTTTTTTTCTTGCAGCTGAGCTGGGAGATTATGACCCAGAGGAGCATCCATCAGACTACATCAGAGACTTCAAGCTATTCCCTAAACAGTCCCTCAAACTGGAGAGGAAGATTATCGAAATACACAAAAATGAGCTCAGGTACCAAAAGAAGATGATGGGGTCGCTTGTTATCTGGACCAAGGCCCGTGTTTTCAGCTTGATGCTTGTGAAGCCAGATGTTCATTGTGTGGACAGGGTGCAATGCTCCACAGACAACAAAATAGTGACTTATTCTTTTTGTGATACTTAATTTCAGATGGTAAAATTAAGCTAATAATAGAAACAACCTGATATAATTTAAATATTATTTAGGCAATAGTCTTTTAGACTAGAATACAAGAAAACTCGCAAATTATTAACAGTTTAATATTTCTAGTCATGCCAGATATTAAGTTTAGATAGTGAATGCCTTCCCATAACAAGATTATTTTTACAGTTATATAAAGCCTCTCCACTGGGGTGTTTGTTTATCATGCCTGTGTTGAATTGGCTCTCGTCCGTCACACTTTATTCCAGAACATCAAAGGCAAATCCTTAATTTCCCTCTTGCTGTGCGCTCTGTGTGCCCCAGCAGATTCGACTGATGGGATTAACAACATGTAGATTAACACTAAGCAATAGAGACTTCAGGTGATTTGCACAGTCAAGGCAATTCAAAGAGAAATCACAGTTTTCCAGTGGGCGTGAGAGTTCCCTGATTGTCTTGAGCATTCACAGATTAACATTGTGGTTGTTAATTTTAAAAGATGGATTATATCTGTGTCTGTTTGGAAGTGCCTGGTAGAGTCATTGATGAGCTGTAGCCGCTCCATGTCTGCTAATGTAACATCTGAAGCAGCATGACTGTTATGTTTGTCGATATAAACAATCCACAGTGTCCATAACACACAGATTTGGGGTTTTATGGGCATTATTCATTTTGAGTGCATGAACCAAAATAGAAATTGTATAAACTGTTGAACTTATTGGTGAAAAGGCCCATTAGGTGACACACTGTGTCCTACATCCTCCCACCATTTTATCAAACGGATAAAATGGGGATAATGTTGTATCTCCTCCTCCCTTAGGGGTCAGTGTGCAGCCTTGGCGGAGTTAAATATGCTTCAAAGAGCCCACAGCCTGGAAACGTATGGAGTCGACCCTCATCCATGCAAGGTGATTAATCTGGATTGTGAAACTTCACCTTAAAGATGAAAGTGGTCAAGTTGTTGCAAGTCTATTTTTTATGAAAAAATAATGTTTTCCCTATGATAAAAAGTATTGTTATATGAATTATGTTAATTGACGGAGAAGAAACGACACTGATTTGGAAATTTTTACATGTTTCCATTTGTTTCTCACTATAAATTCAGTCATACTTGTGAGTTTGTATCAGGTATAAAAAAAGTTTAATATGTTTGCCATATAAAGAAAGTTTTAGGGACTCAAAAGTAGTTTTTCAATTTCTGTTTATTATAAAACTATAAATGAAGAAACTGGCTAATTCTACTTTTCTACCATTTCCACAGTAATTTACTACTAATGGATATTTTGCCTTTATGACCTTTACAGTTAAAGAGATAAAAGGCCGAACACAAACCCAGTTTTGTTCTCTCAAAGTCTTTTGAGGATGAAGCAGAAATTAAATTAATGAGAAAAGGCTCTAGAGGTCAGATCCCAATTACTTCCTGGATTTTAATTTCCCTCTGGGGTTATCATTGTAGCAAACAAAAAAAGAAACATTCCAGGAATCAATAATGTTATTGATCGATCTAAACAAATCCTTGATGTAGGCAGTCGGACGTTTTTGCTCTTTTTGTAGCTGGATCTGTAACAAATACTGCTGAGTTTGTAGTTTGCGGCCTGAAAACACATCTCATGCTAGCTTTTATAATCATGTCTAATAAAGTTTCTTAAATATATAATTGTACTGTTTCGGGAGCCGGAATATTATAAGTAATAATATATTTTAATGTTGGCATGTCCCCTCAGTCATTTCACATATTTTTATCTGATTTGTTGTAATCACCGTTTTGACTCAATTAGGTTATAGATTATAGAAAAAAAACAAACATAAACAAGTAAATATTGAGCATATCAACATTTTCCCCAGATTGATATTTAACAGAGCCATTGACAAAAAAAATTTAAACCAGAAGTATTTAATAACCCAAGAGATCCACTGAACAATATCAAAGCAAATTAGTCCACAAATCTGGTTATGACTAAAAAAAAAAAAATTATTATACAGAAAATAATAATTGAACTCATTGTAGAAATTCCCTTTTATATAATGACAATTTTAAGACTCCTGTAAAACATGAGATACACATACTTTACTCAGGTGTTTGAGACGCTCATCCACATAAATCATGATTCCATTAAAACATGACAGAACTGTGTTTGATATCTATTTTATGTTCTTCATGACAGTAGAGAGGAATAGTGGGATTTATATTGAAACAGCAACAACAAAATGTTTTCAGACAGTAAATAATTGGAGAATAACCGCGTTGTTCTGATCTGCTGTCATTCATTTTGTCTCTCTCCATCTTACGAAGTGACTTTGTGCAGATGTCATTTTCATGGAGATCACTGACACCCTGCTTTCCCCCTTGTTGTGTTTGTGTTTCCAGGACTTTACAGGCTCGACTGCCTTTCTGGGCTTCACGGCCACCGGATTTGTGGTTTTCCAGGGAAACAAGAGGATTCACCTCCTCAAATGGTAAAAACTAGGGTCTGAAATGAAAAATTACATATGTAATATTTGACTTTGGTTTTAGAAACAACGAACCCAAAGTGACTTATAAGTTTTTGCATTGCCCTTCATACTGACTGAAAAGTTATGTGCTCAACTGTATGTCATTCATTTTTTAGATTCTCACAAAACTGCAGCAAAAGTTTCACTACGAGTTTTACTATGAGCATGTTTAATATTCTGACAGCGATTTGTTCTTGCAGGGGTGACGTAAGCAAGCTAAAGTTTGAAGGCAAAACCTTTTATGTCATCGGAGTCCAGAAAGAGGTGAGCATAGCTCCTGCGCATTTTGAAAACATTAAGTTATTCTTACTATGGAGTCAAATATGATGTGGATTTCTCTGACTGTCACAAGTCATCTTCATCACCGTGTTAAATCAATATCTCCTCGCTGTACCATTGTGATTTAGAGCCACAGTTATCGTTTGGAAACAGATAAAATCCTGCTGAACTCTCCTCCGCCCCTCATTCTCTCTCTTTCTATTCCTCCCTTCTTCCCCTCCGTGTTCCTGTCTGTCATCTTTGTCAGATTAACTGTACTGTTTGTAATCCTGTCCACCATCACACACAATCTATATGTGTGTCGCTGTTTCAGATCTCCTTAACAGGCAGGATTCAGTGTAACAGGATGGTGGGTGTGTTACGACTAATCTCCTCCCTCGCATTATGTGTTTGACTGTGGTCCAAATCAAAGCATTTCATCACAGATAAATAACGTCGGAGACATGCATCGCACCGCAGCAGGTGTCCAAACATTTGGGACACGTGCTTCATCTCTGTGTTAATCATCCTGCAGAGTCATGGTAGATTTGGAGCAGCATTGTCAGAGCTGTGCATATGTGCTTCATTTATTTTTGATAAAACTGTATTCAAAGCAACCACAGTGTGCTTGCTCTGTAATCTACCTTTCAGCTGATTGGTTTCAGCAAGTCTCATAAATATTCTCCTCATTGCAGCTTAAATCGGCTCTTCCATCGCCGCTTAGCATGTCAGTGTGCCTGCTTGTCTGTTTGGCAGCTCACAAAGGGCTGAAGATGCAGATTTACCTTTGTGTTTCTGTCTTTTCTCTCTGTGTGAAAACATAGTCTTCACTGGTGAGTAGATATAAGTAACCGCAGTAGCACCAAGCATCAAATCCTCAATACAACACCTCTCCTTGCAGACCTGCCCTCACCTCAGAGAATGATTAGAGTGGCGTTTTCTGTTGTTTTATTGTTCTTTGTGTATTTTTGTCTTGTATTTTCACTGTTTTGAAACAATTTGTAAATCTATTTTCTGTTATCTCCTGTAATCTTTACGGCCATATGATCAAAATGACCTTCACTGCTCCATCGTCAGTTACCGTAGATTATGCAACTTCAAGATGCATAATCAATTCCCTTTTTTCTTGTGTTAACAATGTTCCCTAACATATTAATTTTTGAGTGTTTCCTTTTATGTCTGTGGATGTGTGTCTATGTCTGTATTTTACTTTATTGTTCTTTTACAAAGATTTTCCACAAAACTGATCATTTTTTCCCGTGTTTTCCATCTTCGGCTGATTGCAACTTTTCACTCCCCTAGCAATACAACACGTGCTTGAAAAGCCTGTTCTTCCTCGTCTCGTAGCCTTTTCAGTGTCATTTTAAATTGGATAAATGTAAATGTTTACATCTTCTGCAGAGTCAAAAATACACACAAGACAGCAGCTGCGAATCTGAAGAATATTAATGTAAAACAAACCACAGATTTGTTCAGACTTATCCTTGAAACTTGCAAACTTACTCCCTACTTTTCATAATTGCTTGTATCTTATCTTTTGTCAAGGACTAAGTAAATATGATTAGTGTTATAAATGCATAATTGTCAGTATTATAATTTAAATACATGCATTTAAAGTTTCTCAGTAGATTTTAGGCTATGGGACGTTCTGACAGTAAGAAAATCTTACATCAAATATTACATGTTTATTTAATATCAAGTTCACCAATGCTGACAAGTTCAAGTAGCATGGACAGTAAAAACTGGAGAACAGGGACTTTAATGTTCTGTAAAATTAAACAAGAATGTTATTTATTTTAGTCTTTATTTTATTCCTAACCAAAAAACTTTTCCTAAATACTGTAAGGCTGTGCAGCTCTGAGGAAAAGGATGGTTTAAGATAAATGTATATTAGTTGATCTGGTTTCTGATAAATTAAGATAAATAAAAATCTGCTTTGCTGTGAAGGAATGTTCCAAATTTGTTAAGAGAAATGAACACTCAACATAGTTTTCATACTCTAAGGAAACAGGAAATTGTTTATTACAAAATAAAGTTTCAACAAAACTCTGATCAACTTCATAAATGGTTTAAATATTAGTTAAAATGTTTCAGATACTTTTGTTTCATAAGAGGGTATTGCTCTTCATGACATTTGTTCAAATGCATTCAATGCAAAATTATGTTAGTGCAATTACAGATTAATTCCTTTTTCATCTTATTGTACGTCTTTACCAGAAGTACCAATAATTATTGAGGGCATTATGAATATATTAAATTATACAACTTGAAATTGGAAGGCAGTGTAAACCTCCATAGGAACTGTTGAATCAGCATGATAAATGTCATCAGGTCGTCCTTTAGAGCACTTCAGCATTTCAGCCAAAGTGGGACCAAAGATTATTCGTCAATAATTTCTAAACATCTCATCTCTTTTACACACATGTAAGCAGAGATGTAACTGGTGATGTTAATGTGTGTGAATCACAGTACAAACCTAATACACACAGACCCTTGCAAAATGGTCCTTCACTTGCAGTGTTTTCAGATTTGCTCACACTAAAATTACAAATTTCAGTGTATTTTATTGGGATTTTAAAAATGATACATGGGCTTTATAACATTTTTTTATTTTGTAAAATTTCAGGTATGTCAGTTTGAGTGGTTTGCGGGACTTAATGTAAACATGATGCAAAATTAAAGATGTTTTAGAAAAGGATGTGATGTAAGTGAAGACAAGCATTGTCTAAAACGACCAGCAGAGTAGCAGAGCATCCATAGGAAACTTCTTGCACATTTTAAATGATGGTGTTTCCTGCTGTGTTCCTTCATGTACCAGTTCAGTAACTCATTGTTCAGCCACAGTTCAGCGAGGATTTGGATTTGGACTTGATGAAAGTAGCTCTATAAGCCTGCCAGTGTAAGTGGAGCTGTCTATGTCTTTGTAGGTTTGCAGTTGTGCCATATCTTTTCATTTTTTGCACAATGGCTTGAAAAGTGCTCTGAGATGTTTGAAACTTTGGACATTGCTTTGTAATCTACCCCCGCTGTGTCGCATTGCTGGTTGTTTCTTAATGTTCTCCAACAAACCTTCACAAGAATCTGTATTTATATTTAAGTTACACTGCAGAAATGGACTCTGATACTAATCAACAACTTCAATTGGTTCTTATCAATTCTTTCAGATTTTTACATCTACAAACGTTTGAGAACCATGTATCATTTTTCTTTTACTTTAGAATTTTACACTACTGTATGTTGGTCTGTCAAATACAAATTAAAATAAGTACACTGAGCTTTGTGGTTTTAATGTGAGTAAAAATGAAACCGTTGGGATGTGAATACTTTTGCAAGGCGCTGCCCTGCTGCATGACAAAGAGGGAGCTGTGCAGGAAAAGAAACAGACTGGACAAAAAAAAAAAAAAACATCAAAGCCATTTGTACCATTTCCATTTGGCTCTGACGTATGCCTCATATTGTGTTACTGTAATTCTCTCCATTATATTGGCTTCACTGTTTCCTCTCTGCCTCTCGCTCCCTGTGCGCCTGGCATTTGAGCGATATTGATCTGGTATCTCATGTTACCAAACACGCAGGCCTGAAAACGAGACATCTACAGGAATAAATCCCCTCTCCCTGTCCATAAAGACCCATCCTCTGCAAGCTACAAGCTCTTTTTTACTGCTGAACACGGTGGCCAAATCACTTTATCTGTCTTAAATCTTGCTAAGCTTACAGCTTTGGATCTATGGGTCAGCGTTTTGTGCAGCTCCCTCACATTATGTTCAGCACTTCCCCTTATTTATGCCTCTCTGGGCAGTCATTCACTCTTTTTTTCTTTCTGACTCTCTATTTCTGTGCAGAAAAAGCTGGTGTTGACATTTCACACCTCGACTCCTGCAGCGTGTAAGCACCTATGGAAGTGTGGGGTGGAGAACCAGGCCTTTTACAAGTGCGTCTGCAAACTCAAATGCATTGTTACAGTATATACATTTTCTGGATGTGCATTTTTTCAAAAATTGCTGTAAATATTCGTCTCGGAGTGAACAGAAAACATTTAGAACAGACAAAACAGCAGAAATTAAAAGTCAAACAGCAAAAGAAGAAAATGATTCTAAATTAGGGAGAAAACTGAACTGTATAGAAATATATAAAGTATTTGTAAATGGTGTTGGATTAAAAGTGATAAAGCGGTGATTAAGGTAATGAGAAGTAAAGATAGATGAGAATGTTTAAGAGTATTACAATTAAGTTCAAACAAATAAAAAGAAAGATAAAACGTAAAAGATAAAATCTAGATTTAATGTCAAGGACAACTATAAAAGTTTATTAATCACAGAAATTAAACAAAACAAAATATAGTATTTGAGTCATCAGAAAGTCAACTAAAATGTTAAAATCAAATCATATTTATTGCAGCATTAGTGGAAATTTTTATTAGTTCAGCAACTTCATAAAGTGAAACATATAAATTATATACACAGACAGATGTCTTCAAGCCATTATTCCTGTTAATTATGACTATTTTCTGTTTATAGCTGTTGTGGGCTTAATGAAAAGTATGTCTTTACATCTGCAGAAAGAATATTTTAAGAGTTTAATTTGATAAACTTACAAACCTGATTCGGTCACACCAGACTATCACAGTATACAAGTCCGTATCTCTCACAATGTAAGGCTTCATCTTACACCTGATAAATATTTTTTTTCTGGTATAAATTAATATCCACTCACACAAAAACAATGAAGTGCAGCAGGAATCAAAAGTGAGGTTGTGGATAAGTAGAAGCAGAGAGTGTGTCTCTGAGAGAAGGAAGGAGTAAAAATCAGCTCAGATGTCAGAGAAGCATCAGAACCTCAAAATCAAATGACAATAAATCAAGTTTGGAAATGGCTGCCAAAATGAGGCTGCTGATCGTTGATCTTATTATGAAAAACACTGAAAAATATTCACTTTAGCCCACATTTTTCTGTAAGTACTGCTGGAAGACGAGGAATGGAAGCACAATTACTAATAAAAAACTTAAAGAACATAATGACCTATGTTAAAAGACCTAATCATGTTGTTGGAGTTGTTTAGAAAAAGTTTCTGAATTCTCTAATGTTCACTGAGGCTGTGACATTGCATTTGAAGCTATGCTTAATGTCTGCTGCTGTTTCTTCCTCTGTCTGTCTGTCAGATGTGCGAAGTCGAGTCAGATAAAGACCGTCTCAAGCAGCAACATCTTCTTCAAAGGCAGCAGGTTCAGATACAGGTGAGACAGAAAACGGTGCGGAGGCGTGGCGTTAGAGAGCAATGTGAAAAATATTCACAACGTGATAAAAAAGCAAAGTTCCTGCCTGGTAGGAACATTGTCGAAGTCCAGAGACGTGTGGAAAAATAAGAGGAATATTGATCTTAGCCATTTCTTTTTAGTTTAATGCATCAAAATTGGTTATTGATGTTATGGAAGTTCTTGTATCATTTGAGTTTCTTGTCTGTTACTTGACAGACTTTTGTCTGTTATCTTTGTCTGTTTATTCATTCAAATAAAAACTCAGAATTTCCCATAATAGTGATCAAATTTGCAACTAATGATCCTTGGTTCCTTCAGCTATTGAAATAGAATTTATTCAGACAAATGATAATGCTTTGTTTCGGAAATTGCCCTATAGAGAAATACAGGAAAGCAAAAAACATAAGTATAACAAGTACATTTGCTCCATGCAGATCTCTTATTTTAGCCTCAGTCTTCACAAAAGGAGCAGATGTGATGGTGGAGCCTGCTGACCCTGAAACAAACCTCTAAGCTCCCATTGTTTAAAACAATGGGGGCTGCAATGCCTCACAAATGTGTTCATACTTGCTAAATTTATCACGTTTTGTGAAACAACAACACTGCTGCATTGAGGTTTGTGGTTATAATGTTACAAAATATGAGAAGGAATTGAAATGAAACAGTTAAGAATAGCACTAATTATTAGCAACATCAGCAAAACTAATAAGACAAATCTATATTAGTCATTTTCTTTGAAGGTTTCTGCAGCTAAATTAGAAAAATGCCGTACAGTATATTCATTATGATCCACACCACACACTGAGGAAACCTCCTTAATCTCAGCCAGATCTTTTTTTCTCTAACTCTAATATGCTGTTTGACATTTTAGAGTCTCGTGTTTTTAAGAGAGTAACTTTAAGAAGCTTCACAGCAAAAGAAAAAATACAGTATTTAGACAAGTGACGTGTTTGTTAGTAAAACCATCAAGATGTATATGATTCTCCTCCTCAGTGGAAAAGTAGCAAAGGAAGTGATAGAGGCCAGCTCCAAGATTCAGCGAGATCCACCCGAGGTTCACAGGTAGGATTGACACACCTCCAGTTGTTCATGACTGCACAGCTGGATGCTCTGAAGGACAACACAACAACTCATGTTGAAAATGTATGTGTGTTTTTTTGGGTTATTTTTCAGAGCACAGTTTGGTCAGAGTCGAAGCTATAACTCTCTGAGCCATAAAAACCTGATCATGAACATGGAGCCTCTGGTACCCGCACTGCCATCCACCAACGAATACGAAGAGGCGGCAGCAGACCCCGGTAGGGGGAACCTGCGTACACATCACACCCTACAGCTTCATGTCCTCCTGAAACACGCCTCAGAAAGTCACATTGGGCCTCCCTTGTGTAAGAGGAAGCTCATGTGTGACTCTCAACCAGCGAGAGTTAATTGAGCAGCTGATGCTCCCTCCATCAGCCTCGTCTCCCTGGAGACTCCAATTGCAGAACGCTAAAAATACCCCTCCCATAATCCTCCCCGAGGATCCCCCCTCACCCCCTGCCTCTGAGTGTCTGCATGTCTGACTTTGTGTGTGTGTTGTTCTTACAGAGTCAGATGTACTCTTTGTCATCTCAGAAACACAGCCGCACAGCAAACATCTGCCACCGTATCATTAAGGAAAACTCAATCACAAGTGATGCATTTGGCTCCAAGGAGTCTGTCTGTTTACGCCCCTGTGAGCATCTGGGCCTGCAAGTTTTTGTTAATTTTGTTTGTCAAAGGCTCTGCACTAATAACAAACGATTGCATCATTCAGTGACAGTAAAATACATCAACTATATTAAGAGAATCATTATACTCATCTTAGTATTTTACTTTACTACCACTTACTTATTCTTGTGTTTTATTTACCATGCTGTGTTTCTTTGTTTCTTCTCCTGTGTTTCTGTCTCCATTTTGCTCCTTTATTTCTCCTGCATTTCTTTATACTGTCAAATTAATTCTAATGGCAGATTAGAAAATATATACATGAAGCAACAAGGAAGGTCAAAATGCATCAAAAACTGAATTAGGCTGCATTTCCAGAATGATAACACTAAAGAAAAAGTTTAGGATTTTCTTAAAACTAATATCCCATGAGAACAAAGTGACCAAATATCATTTTAAGTTGATTCCACTATTTACCTAGATCCATATTAAAGCAATTAGCTCTTCATTAAAATAAAAACAATCCGCCACAACAATCTGCCATGTGAATTTTCAGTGTTATTAAAGTATTTCAATTTTGGTCTTTAACAAACCTTGTACTTCACATGTAGTTTTTTTCAACTTTGTTCACCTAAAATGGGATAAAAATAATAAATAATAATAATAAAAAACCCAAACAAAAAACAGTTTATTACTGAACTTAAGTTATCAGGTGGCAAATCCTGTCTTGTTGTGCACAACTTGTTACCTTAGACTCATGTGGTCGGAGAGAGGAAACAAAGCATTTGGCATCTTGTTGCATAGAATTATGCACTCAACACTGGCCAATTTAAATATATTATGTATGTCTACTTTGCACTATTTCCAGCATGTATCTATTAATCTACCAGTGTTGCTGATAGGACAGGAAGGGAAACTGGTGTGGAAGAGCTCAGGGTGGGATTATACGAGAGCAGAGGGTGAATGGAAACAAGACAGGGCAACATGAGAGAGGAGCTAAATGCTAGGAGGGATGTGCGTCACAAAGGCCTGGAAGTGGGGGAAAAAATTATAAATAAATGACAATTAGAAAGGGAAGCAGGTGAACTAATGTTTTGTTGACCTTGAGAAGTCAGAGAACTAAATGAGAAGACATTGATAACTCTTACCTCATAAATGCTGATTGAGGGTCACAGTGAGGAGATAGGAGCCAGTTTAACTGAGTTAAGAAAAAGAAAAGCGCAAACATGAATCCGGAGGATCCTCATCTTTACAGTTTCAGAGTCAAGGATCAGTGAAGGTTGGGATGGAGAAGTGAGACACTGGAATATAAAGTAGAAACATCAGAAACTGAACAGAATAGTTTGTAGGCTAATGAAGGATTAATGAGAGATGACGAGGATGTTCACCAGGAATAGAGTCCATTGTTGAGTGGGATGAGAATGAGAAGGATCAGGAATCTTTCCATGAACATCAACAAATGAAAATGATTAGAATATTTCTGCCATGTTTAACCAACAGCTGCAGGAGCAGTTTTACAGAAATCAAATTCTTCCACATCTGTTTTTCATTCCACTTTATGCAAAGGTGTAAAGTTTTTGCCAAAATCCAACCCTTGATTGAGGGGCTCACACCCCTCTTAATTCACATCATGAGTTATTCTACAAATTGAGGGTCTATTAACATAAAGAGTGAGTGTTAACATAAAACTAAATTTAAAAACGTTCTTCTTTGCACTACAGATCACAAAAGTATCATAAATTTTGCAGCCAGTATCATTAAAGTAACCCTTTTTAAGCACTTTCTCGCCAATAAACTGTCAGATGCTGACTGACGAATCTGCTGCAAGGACTTTGGGATAAAGTGTCCTCAAGATGGTCTAGGATCACCATCTATATTCAGAGCACTAATCTGAACCATTAGTGGGGGAACAGGAAGCTGACCCAAGGTCAGTGATGTCCTTGTCCTGCTAGTGCAGCCTGTTCCAGTCTGAAGCACCAAATTATTTACTCAAATACACACAGACAAACTTCATATGTCACAGTTTGGTCTTCAGATACATTATTTCAATGGCATTATAAATTTGGACCTCCATCAGAGATCATAAGGACATGGGAGTGATGCAACAAGTTGTCACCTCTGGTTAATCAGAGGCTTGGAGGATGCATTTCAGTGAACAATGTTTGTCTTTGCCTTATAACTAATTCCCCACAGAACCAAATTTATCTCGGGAGGAAAAGAGGCACGTAAAGTCAGACTTGTAGAAAGGAAAAGAAAGTGATCCCCATGGCGGTCGGGGTCAGGCCTGCCCCTCTGTAATCACAGCTAGATTAGCTGCTTCTCTGCAGCTAGGACCACTTGGTTATATATAGAAAGTGCAGCTTTGGACCTGATCCGCCTCTAATGCCCCCTCCGCTACATGTTAATATCCCTGACATTCACAGGAGGGCCCACTGTGTCTGTGGATGAGTGAGGGCATGTGTCTGGTGAATGTCTCGCAGCGTCTGTCTCTAGCGTTTGAGTCCTTCTGGCAGCCCAGTCTGAAGTTCGCTGTAAAACCGAACCATGGAGCTTCTTGAGCACAGGAATGGTGGGGATGTTGGCGGGGAATTCCTGCAAAGCAGCTTGGAGCTGAGAGTTAGTGACCACCCTAAAGTAGAGGACACTATAAGGTGTGGAAGTCCGGGGCAAACAGGGGGGCTGATGGTGGACCTGATACCAGAGAGACCACAGGGAGAGGGGATGGAGCCGGGACGGGTCGGACCTATTGAGGTTTTCGAGGAGCAAGCGGCCTCAGTGGTGGTGGCCGAGACTGCCAGATGTCAGGTTAAGATCACAACGCGGCGGAGCATCCATCTACGGATAGCTAATCACACCACAAGAGACGTTTACGTGAGGCTGGTGGGGCACGGCGGACGGATCGCGGGAACCAGAACGGTACATCAGAGAGGTTCGCTGGAGCAAAGTAAGACGAGTACAAAGGGAGAAATGGTTTGACGTAAATCAGAGGCATAATAGCCACATGAACTAATTTAGATGTTATGGAGCTGAAAATGACATTGCATGATGAATAATAGTAGGCTTGTGTTGGATAACTAGTGGAAAACCTTCACTGTGTGCATTTTGGAGTTTGTGTGGTGACCACAGAGGAATCTTACACCTTGTAGTGCTTTTCATCTCATCTCAGCAGAGGTTTTCATCAAAGCATGAAGGACAATAAACAGGACAATGCCTCCTGTCAGTTATGAGGATTCTTAGACTCAGAGCTTTTATTTTAGGAATTATTTGGTCATGATGTGAACTGTAAAGTGAATAGCCCTGTACTCTGAACGCTGCGGTTTGACCGCATAATTATGAACTTTAGTACTTTCAGTTAACCTATCATGTGCTTGTGTTGTTGAGAGAAAAGCACCAGAAAACCTGATATGTGCAGGACCAAACTCTACAAACTGGAAACCACAAACCTTCCAGACCTTTGTCAGCTAAATAAAGCATGTTGTGTAAAACATTTTGGACCAAAAAGTATCAAATTGTTAAAAGTTCATAAACAAATTCGTCCCAGTCTTGCAAAGTTAGTTCTCAGTCCTAGAAGAGTGTTTAACCTTTAAAGAAAGCACAGTTTATCTCAAATAAATGAAGCAATTACATTCTGGTATATTTATCAAAATTAAGGTTTAGTCATGATTAACACAAAAAAAAACATAAGCTTTTTTATTCCTGAATTAGTAAAATAAGTGCATTATTTCAATACAAACTTTGAAATATGCAGCATCAGATTTCAAGGGTCAAAAAGATAAAAAAAGAAGAAGTTTATTTTGATTGTGGGATTCAACCTTCATGGAATAAGAGGATATTTAAGATGTGAGCGTGAAAGTGGCACCTTAAATCAATGGTTTAAGAAATAAAACAGAGTCCCTCTTTTTTCCACAGTATTTCTGATTCTGATTCCCATGTGTTGAGTTTTGCACATATGTTGTCTCTTTCTGGCTGTGTTTCTATGGTTACTGTCACCCCCAGCTTCCCATCCATCGGCACAAGCTGCGATTTTACTCCTGAATGTGTAAAATCATCTGAGTCTCATTTCTCAAGACGTCCCCCCCCCCCAGCCACTTCCTTATCTGCTGCAGGATGACAGCTGGCTTTATTTTTAACACATACATCACTTATTTAGTCAGATTGTATTTAGATTCATTATTTAGATTCATTCACTCATTATTGAGTCAACACCTTGGAGTTGAGTAAATCCGCACACAGCTGCTCTCCTGTCCGTCCACATCACATCATCATCAAAGGGACGATGATGTGATGGGGACGAGCCTGAAGTTGGACGAGACAGAACCACAAACAGCATCTCCGAATTGATCACAACCTCAACTAATGCCCGGCAAGATTCCCCCACTGGCGTCCGCAGGCCGCACAGAACGTCCTGCGGCTGCGACACGCACTTTGAACCAAACAGATGGCGGCTCTTTCATGTCTATCACTTCCGTATCAACAAGTTACATAACTGACCTCATTTTCTTTTACATTTAATTCAAAGCTGGTTACTTCATTTTTATTAGGCAGTATTTCTTTTATTGTATGCAGCGCTTGTTCTGCTTTTAAGTAGTATAGGAGCGCCATCGTGTGGTTGATGAATAGGAAAGCTAATGTTTGTGTGTTTTTTGAAGGTGACTTCAGATGGGGATTTGCCACCAGTATCCTTACCTTACAGGCCAGGCATAAAGAAAAAGAAAAAAACTACCTAGGTTTTTGGGCTACTCATGACAATCCAATAATTTGGGGGATTTGTATCCAGTGAAGCCTCACCTTCTCTGTGTGATAATATTTCATTTCCATTTGTCTGAAATTATATTTAACTTTGTTGAATAATGAATGACTTTCTTTCTTTCTTTTTTTGTTGTTGTTGTAATTGTCCTTTAGCAGGTGTTGTTGCTGTGAAGGATCCAGTTCCTCTGTCTCCTCTCGAATCCTCAGCGGCGGCGGCGGCGGCGGGGGCCGACACAGAACAATCATGTGCAGAGAGAGGAAGCTCTTCTTTGATCAATGACCTGCAGCCTCACTGTGTCTCCAGGGAAACCCCGTACCTCCCACCCCTAACGCCAAAAGCTGACGACGGATTGGAGGAAGACGACGAGGGCGGCGGTGCACTCACCATCTCTGAACTTGCATACAGGTCTTTACAGTTGCAGAAACATGGATCATAATTATTTTTTGAATTTGTTTGCATCTTTCTAATTCATAGTAAAACAGACTAAACCTTTCAGATTTTAGATCAGTTAGAATTACATTTTTTATTTATATTTGCTCACTGTTACAACAAGGACAGAGAATGTCAAGTGTTTTCTTGAGACTCCATAGACAAATTTTCTCAGTGTTTTCCACTGTTGCCTTTATAACTGGTCAAATGTTTTTGGGTATCCTTCCACAAGCTTTTCACAACAGCTCAATGAATTTTAGCCCATTTATCCAGCATGAACTCATCTAACTTATTCAGGTTGAGAGGCCATCTTGCTAACAGCTTTTGAGCTCTACCTAAATATTTTCTTTGCCATTTTATGTCTTTAACTCACTTTGTAACTAATCTGGTGGTATTTTTAGGCTAGGACTTCTGCTGTCACATAAAGTGAAGCATTCTTTAACGTGTCAGTAGAAGCAGTCTACATGCCTTGTATGCATTGCCTCGTTGCATTTTGTTTTAGGGTCTTTCTGATTTCATGAACATCTTGTCTCCCCTCTCCAGCCCCTGCGCCAGCATGCTCCCCACCCCAGTGGAAGACGGTCAGGGAGGGGTCAACCAGCTCTTCTCCAGTCCTGTCCAGAGTCCCGCTAGATTGCTGAGAGAGCTCCATGCTGACCCCGACATCCAGGCCCAGTTGGAGGCCGAGAGGGAGCGAGACCGCGAGTTTGAACGCACTCGCCTGGCCGCCAGAAGTCGAATGAGCGGAGTCCTGGCCAACAGCCTGCGGCTGCTCTCGTCCAATGAGAGAGTCAACACCTGGGTGGTGGGGGTAGCCAGGTTCGTAGCTGTGCTCATGGGGGTCCTGCTTATCACTGTGCCCACACTGCTGCTGCTGCTGGAGTCAGACATCGACGTGTCGTTCCTCCACGAGATCCGACAGACACCAGAGTTTGAGCAGTTCCACTACGAGTATTACTGCCCGCTTCGACGCTGGATTCTGTGCAAGATCAGCATGGCCATGGAGAACCTGTGGTCTGACTAGGCAAGATGGAGAAAGAGAGCGAAATCAGTGATGAGTCAAGGAAAAAGGAAAAAGCTGGGCCCAAATGTCTGTCTAAACATGATTTATTGTGAGAGTCTTAAAAAGTTCGGGTCGACGATTCAACCTGCCAATGAGGTGAAGGAAAATTTCTTGTTGGGATTGAGTCAGTATGTGCTAAACACTTTGGAAACAAGCATTGTTCTTTCTCCTCATTGGTAGAACGACTTACCTCTTAGTAAAACTGAAACTAGGGAGGGAAATCCTTTATTGTGAAGTTGAATCACTTGATGAGACTGACATTTCTGGCAAGACCTAGCTGAGAACAGAAAGTGAAGTCATGGAGGGAAGGGAAACTGAAAAATGTATTAGTTTTATTGTTTTTACTTTCCTTTCGATTTTAAGGCTTCTCCACTCCTGATGCTGACAAGTTCAGGCAAAGCCTTGACAGTAGGCTTCACAAACTGTTCAGATTGGTGTTCGTCCTTCCAACCAGATCACCTGATTGGCTATTAAGTCTGTCAGTCATGACGGAGTGGGTGGGAAATGAAAAAGAAAAAATACATACTTACCAGTAAATAAAAGCAACAATCTGAGCAACAGATTTTAAAAAAATGCTACCAATATTAAATAAGTTGTTTTTAAAGTTTTGTACATTTTTATGTGATTCAGATCTTTCAGGAATTTTTCAGTCAGAAGATCTACTTTGAGCTTATTTTCAAATTAAGAGTTTACAAAAGATTATTTAAAAAAAAAAAGCTAATTTACTGCAGTTTAACAGAATGAAGGGTGTTGAGAAACTATTTTTTTAAGACTACCGTCAACATGTGTCGTCTTTGTGGTAGAAATCTGGTTTTACTCCAGCAGAGGTTAGAGCACAAATCCTTCAGCTTCTTCGGATCATTTGATGTCATTCTGAAGGAAAGCCGTAGAGAAAAACAAACCAGTTTGTGACGTTTGGATGTCCTTTGTGGAAACGTTAAGTGTTTTAAATGTGAGCTCGTGGACTAGCATTCATCTATCAACAAATGCAGCAAAGAAGAGAAAAGGGGAGAGAAAACGCTTCTAAATGGTGAAACTGCTGTTTGATGATTTATTATTTTGAAGATGTTTGTGTTGGCACAAAGTAAAGAAAAACATAAGTGATAAGTGAGTCTTTAGGTTGGTTTGGTTGAATGGTTCTCATACTTCTGATTACAAGTACCACTTTATTGAACACTAAGTACTATTGACTGGGTCAGTGCTCTTTTTGCAATTTGACTTTTGCCAGTGGACAAGCCATTTCACACACCCAGCTGAAACCAGATATTTACATACACTGTAAAACTTAGCAGATTAGTTTTTCTTTTTCTCATAATGAATAAGACTTCATATGTTGCTGCTGTAGCTGCCAGCAGTATTTATTTATTTATTTTTTGCTAAATGTCAGAGTAATGAGAACAAATTACTGTCAATTTTAGCTCATTACTATGAATTCAGAGGTTTACAGACACTAAGATTTGAGAAAGCCCAGATGACAAAATCTATCCAGTATCTGTTAGTTTTATTGTTTAGGGAGGTTGGATACATGTTGAATTATTACTTGCTGCAGTCTTACTTAAGACAATTGGTAGGTTTTTAATTTGGTGCCCATTTCTGATATTGATATCTTGCTGGCAAAAACAGATGTTTTCCTTGTTTAGGCCACTGAGACATTTATTACCTAACCAAGCCACTCCTATTTCAGAATACATTTGCTATTTGGTTTCTGTTGTATGCATCATGTCATTGACTAAATTTGAAATGTTATCTGAAAAACAGTCCAGTTTTACTTTAATAGCTGTTTTAATTATTTCTTTCTCCAACATTTTTGCATGTGTTACACTCGCTGTTTGTTTGCCGAGAAAATTGGCCGTTATTTTTTGTAAACACCCTAAATTTAGCAAACACTGATTTCCTTCTCATTTTCAGACCCGATTTTCTTGACTTGTGCCACAATGTGAGAACCACGGGCCTAGTTCAATCATGCAAACAGTTCACTGGTGTAACAAAAAATAATAATACCAAACATGTTTACCCATCACAAACACAAATTTGAACTGATTTGTATTCATGTTCAGGATGATCTGTAGAAATGCTTGCTCGCGCCACCTTTGCTGTTGTTCTTGGTAACTAGGTGAAGTCACAAAAGTATTTAAAGAGATAATTGCTTGGAAAAGTAGTTGAGGAACTTGCTGCATTGGAATATCTTACTGTCATTCAGTTCTGCGAATCATTAACGTAATACAAGAGAAGGAAGTTAGGAATAAAATCGCCCGTGACTGAAACAACCATCAGTAAATTATTAGTATTTAAGGCTACGGAAGACAAACACTGGTGAGCATGTGTCTTAGACTAACAGAAACTATAATATGTAGCTTACTCTCAGGAAAGCTCAACTGCATGTTGACATGAAAACAGATGTCACACAAGGGATACATTAACACACATTATAGTCACACATTGTGCTTTTCCGGACACCAAAGCAGTTTATGTGGAACAAGATATCATTATGGCTGCAGATTGTCTGCCTAATTTAATCAGCTGTCTATGCATCATGTCATTCTAATAGGAACTGGAACATAAAGTGTCTCCTTCAATGCGCTTTTACTGACTAAAGTAACATTTTCCTTACATGCAGATGTCACGTTTCATACAAACTGTGAGGCTGAAGCACACAGTCTAACATCTTCTATCTGATGTCTTATGGTCAGCAGTATTGCTATGTGACTTTATACACTTTATGCATTTGCAAGTTATATGCATAGAAAATATGCAGTAACAACAGAAACATGTACTTTAAGACAAAGCATTTATTTTCCTACGACAGCATGTGCACTGACTTTCATAGGTTAAACCAAGCAAAGGGCCAAAACGCCACGATGGCGTTTACTTTAACTGTCACAGATCTGAGTTCAGTTTTGCTCCACTGTGGAGGATGAACCTGACCCGTATGCACTGACACTGTAAAATAATCCCCATCCAATGACAGACGAAAATGTCTTTTTTCCTAAATGTCATGACATCAAAAAAGACTTGTGATACTTTGCAGAGCAAACAAACAAAACAAAACAAAAAAAGACTATAAACACATAATTTACACGTGTACATTTATAAAGACATAGTTTTGTCACTGGTTTTAGTCTTTGATTGCTGTGCTACAACTTTTATATTAGTTCACTGGCTCCATTAGCTCTCAGTGCAAACTGCATGTCGTCATCTGTAAATATTGTGTTTATAGTTGTGGTTTAAATAAGAAAAAAAAAACAACAAAAAAGACAGGCCCACTGCAGGGAAAGATTTTCCTCCTTTCTTCCCTATGTATGTCTTTGTGTAAAGAGGCTTGGCTGTCTCATCCATTTTAAAATAATGCATGTTATCTGTGTTTTTATCAGCTGAGAGAGGAACATCCATTGCACATATTCTTGGAAGCTTTTGTTCTCATTCATAATTAGGCTTTAATTTTATTTATCTACTTGACGTTGGTTACACGTGGTTCTCTGTACCAACTCTGGAAGAACTTCCTTTCAGATAAAGCAGAAAAATCTTCTTGAATAATTCAAGAAATTTTGGCCCCAAAAAAGAAGCTGTAAAATACTTGAAGAGTTAGCTTCATCCTGCTATGCTATGTCATTGTAAGCCATTAAAGCTAAGCTAATGTCATCGCTAACAGCATGCTTGCATGTTAGCTGCCAAAAACTGGATTCATGTGATTTTAGTTGAGTGAAACATACATTTAACAAGACTCCTCTCATTGTCAACATATATGTTCAGTTTGTGAAAGCAAATGTAAGAACCTTTAACCTCTGCAAACGATAAAAAACACCTTTTGGTTCTGAAAACTCACTGAAAAATTATTAGAACTTGAACTTGCTGGTGTGAATATTCAGAACACTGTGGTGAGTCGGTCAGAACTCCAAAGAACGCAGAGTCGTACTCCAGGTGATTTAACTCGTACTTGCCGTTTATTTAGGTAATTTTGTGTGTGGTTCTAGAAAATAAACAACAATACAACATCAGTGTCTGTATAACATGACTGAAATAACATCACACATACTAAATAACTGCACTCTCAATGATTCTAAACATCACGTTTCTACATACACGCGTGTATAATTCTTAAGTGTGCACGTGAACAGAGCATGCTACTAATTAAGCGAAAAACTAAAATACTCCGCTAAATAAACAATATTATTAACAGCTAACATCACTTACTTGTATTTCCGCACACACATCAAGGAAGGTAACAATAAACAACAGCCGGTTAAACGAACAAATGCGAAAGTAACTATACTCCTTTTTCACTCTTTTTTTCTCTCTTTCTTCTTCTGCATGCTGCAGCTGCTCTAAGCCCCGCCCCTTAATGACTCATCATGGCAGTTTGTTATACAGCCTTTTTCACAGCCGCCCCCGTATTCACCTGTGAATACGAATATCAAAAAAAGGCTGAATAAAAGGAGGTGGTTAATAATCATTAGGCAGGGTAGGTAGGCTGACCAGCCTTGCCACGGGTCGAACATAAGTTCGTCCCTTCACAGTCACTTCAGCTGATCTGATCCGGTGTCTGGCCCAGGAAAAACTTGAGAGACTTTACCCACAGGCCAGAGTGCTCGCGGAAGCTGGTTGTCCACGATCATGACCACATCTCCTACTTGTAGATTTGCTGATTCAGTCTGCCACTTCTGGCGGGCTTGGAGTCCTGGCAGGTAGTACTTCAGAAAGTTCTGCCAGAAATGGTCGGCTAGAATCTGGCTGTGCCTCCATCTTCTCCGCCCAAGAATCTCTGGGCTGTCGTAGATTACTTGCGGCAGCGAAGCATCCCGCCGTCCCATGAGAAGATAGTTGGGGGTCACCGGGTCAGGGTCTGCTACTTCAGAAGAGATGTAACCTAGGGGTTTTGAATTAAGTATCCCCTCAATTTCAATCAGAACGGTGTGCAGCACCTCTTCAGAGACGGTTTGGGCTCCGATGATGACTTGAAGAGCAGTCTTAGCGAGCGAATTTCACGTTCCCAGCAACCTCCAAAGTGTGGGGAACCAGGAGGATTGAAAATGAACTTGATTTGCTGGCAAGCTAGCTGCTCTTTGTGGTCAGGTTGAAGGGCTTGAAATGCTTCCTGCAGCTCACGTTCTCCTCCTCGGAAATTTGTCCCTTGGTCACAGAGGATCTCCTTCGGTTTCCCACGCCTGGCTATAAAGCGTCTCAGAGCCATCAAGAAAGCATCTGTGTCCATACTGGGGATCAAATCAAGATGCACTGCTCTTGTAGTTAGACATTTAAACAGTAGTCCCCACCTTTTTCATGACTGCGTCGGATCTTGATAGTGTATGGCCCAAAACAATCCACCCCCGTGGAATAAAATGCCGGCTTGAATAGACGCAGTCTGGCTGGAGGGAGATCCGCCATCCGGGGTGGTTAGGTTGACCTTTCCACCTCTTGCACTCAACGCAGGATCTCTGATGGCGGCGTACTGCTTCACGTCCCCGTAGCACCCAATATCTCCTTCTGATCTCAGCGAACACCCTTTCTGGCCCAGGATGTTGGAGCTTCCTATCATAATCTTGTATGATGAGTTGGGTCAGAGCATGTCTTGGGTCCAGAACAATGGGGTGCACTTCATCTACTGCCAGGTCAGGATTCCTGCGTAGACGGCCTCCTACTCTGATGAGCCCTGTTTTCTCATCAAACTCAGGTGCAAGTAAAAGAAGACGACTAGATTTGGCAATAGGTTTACCAGCCGTTAACTGGGTGATTTCTTCCAAGAATGATTCCCTTTGGGCTCGTTGTAGAGCTTCTATTTCAGCAGCAGCGTAGGAATCAGCAGTAATAGGGTGGCTGAGGTCAGCCGCCCCGTGAAGGTGATGTACAATGGCCTCCAAGTAGCTGTCCCAAGTTTGGTGCTGGCGTGGATCTGGAACACTGGAGCTGGACACAGTTAGACAAACAGCTTGTCGTTTCAGCTCACCTTCAGCATTACTCTGGAGTGGAGGAGGTAGGTCAGGCCAGTAACCTGGAGCTAGTTTCAGGAATTCCGGACCATCTGTCCATCTACTGCCTTTGCAGATGTCTTGGATGGTGAGACCACGAGTTATATCATCTGCTGGGTTGTCTCTTGAGGGCACATACCTCCAAGTTGAAGCTTCCGTGATTTCTTGTATTTCTGCCACACGAGTGCCCACAAAAACCTTGTATCTGCAAGAGTCTGAACCCAACCAAGTTAGGACTGTGGCTGAGTCAGACCACAAGGTACAGCTGCGTATGGGAAGAGTTAACTCAGAGCTGACGACTTTGCAGAGCTGAGCACCTGTTAGAGCAGCACACAACTCAAACCGCGGAAAAGATTGTTGCTTCTTTGGAGCAACCCGAGATCGAGCTGCAAGGAAGGCAACCTCAACTTCTCCTTCTGGACTCTCTGTTCTGAGATAAGCCACTGATCCATATGCCTGTTCAGAGGCATCACAGAATACATGGATATCTCTTATACAGTTGGGCTGGTCTAGTCTGTGACTGGTGTAGCACCTAGGCAGGGTGATCTTGTGCAACTGTTCCAGCTCTGCTTCCCATGCATGCCACTTCTGCAGCAGCTCCTCAGGGAGTTGTGGGTCATCCCAATCCCTCTGTTTCTCCCACAGGTGGCGTACGATAACTTTAGCTCGAGTGGTATAAGGCACTATGTAGCCAAGAGGATCATACTGGCTAGCTAAAACTCTATAGATGTTCCTCATAGTAGCCACTGAGCAATCAATGTGTCTGTGTTTGTAAGTGAGGGTGTCAGACTTACAGTTCCAGTGTAGCCCAAGGGCTGGCTCTTGGATGTCGGACTGACCTTGACTGAGCCACAGCTCACAACTGGATGACCTGAGGTCTGGAGGAAGATGGCAGATGACATCTGGATTGTTACTGGCCCACTGCCTCAACTCAAATCCCCCATCAGCCAGAAGGTGGCGCAGTTTATTAATGAGTGTCTTGGCGGCTATTGGACATGTGAGACTCTGTAAGCAGTTGTCCACGTAGAAGGACTTGTTAATGGCAACACGAACATCTTCTTCTGGTTGGCTGTGGTCTATGACATGTTTCTGCAATGCGAACGTTGCGCAACAAGGGCTGCAAGTAGTTCCAAATGGAAGTACTTGCCACTCGTAGACATCAGGGGGCTTGTCTCGGTTCATGTCCCGCCACAGAAACCGAAGCAACGGTCGATCTGCTGGTAGGAGCCTCACTTGGTGGAACATGCCACGAATATCGCTGCTGAAGGCCACAGCATGTTCCCTGAAACGTAGGAGCACCGCTAGCAGGGCAGGGCCGAGAGTGGGACCTGGTAAGAGGAGTTGATTTAGGTTGTAGCCTTGGTGTTGAATGAACAGTTGTACACCACCCGGTTCTTCCCATTATGTTGGACCATGTGATGGGTATATACCAAGCTTCACCAATGGTGTCGGATTGATGGTCCACCAACTTTACTACATAGCCAGATTCTACAAGCTTCTCAATCTCCATCTGATAAGCAGCAGCTTGTTCTGGCGACTTGGCTAGGCGCTTCTCTGTGCTTCTCAGGAGAGGTAACACTGCTTCTGGTGTGGAGTTCAGTAGAGGCATGTCTTTGATTCGAAGAAGGGGTGTGGCATAACGTTCAACACCACCGACATTGACTCTCACCGTCTGTTCTTGCAGGATCTGATTGCTTCGTGATCTTGCCGTGACCTAACTGCTAACTTCTCACTGCGGTAAGGGAGCACATCCATCTGCCATAACTTCTCTACACAGGAGAGCAGCTCTGTAGGTGATGATGTAGATGTGAAGAGACAGTGACTCACATTCGTGATGGATTCCATGGCTTGTGCTGGTCCCTGTAGTGTCCAACCGAGGAGAGTCTTCACTGCTGCCGGCCCACCAGGTGGTCCCAGTTTGATTGGCTCCACAGGGGTTATGAGGTGTGTGTAATCGGCACCAATCAGTAACATAGGGCGGACTCTGTTTAAAGGAGGGAGAGGCAAACCTGACAAATGTTTATACTTCTTCTGAAGTGAGACAACTGGGTGGGAATGCTCTGCTAAACTCAGTTGCTCGGCTGTAAAAGCATTATGGATACTGTACACTTTGTCAGGGTTGGCTGCTGGGGAAATTGTGAACGACACAGCCGCCCCGTGGAGCTTCTCCACTTCTTGTCTGACTGTGCGAAGAGCTAACACCTCTTTACTTCCTCTAAGGCCCAACTGTTTGGCCGCAGGCTGAAGCAGAATTGTCCGCTCAGAGCCATCGTCTAAGACTGCATACGTCTCAAGGGACTTGTCACCATTCCTCAGGACTACCTACTGATCTTCAGGAGCACCTTGCAGTTGTAAACTGGTCGGTCAACATACATGACTTTATTGGCAGTGTTAATAAGGCAACTTTCTGCTGAAAGTGGAACTGATGCTTGTTCTTCCTGCTCTCTCATTCACCTCATGCAGCACTAGCAGATGTCTCCTACCACAGGTTTTGCAGGGAGCTTTAAGTGTACACTTTGCCGCTTGGTGGTTACGTCCACAACGCCAACACTTATTATTCGCTTTAATCCATGTCACCTTCTGTTCTTTGCTCAAGGTCTTAAAGTTGGAACAGTTGTTCAGGAAGTGCTTGTCGTTGTCACAATATGGACAGTAGGCCGTAACCTTCTCTATTCCCTTGGACTTGTTAACAACATGTCCAGGTGTAGGTGGTACTGCTACACTATTTGATCCAGAGACCTTCTCAGTACCCAGGAGGATAGTAGCAGTCTTACTTGAGAGTTTGGAAGTGCGCTTGGTATCAGGCTTCTTGTTAAACGACTCCTCTCTCTTCGGGGGCTTCAGGCTGTCTTCCTGAACTTCCAGCTCATATTCTAGCCAATCAGCAAAGTCAATGAGGGTAGGAATGGCTACTCTCAGGGGATGGATAAATCTCTTAAAACTGGCATTGAGGTCATAGGGAAGTTTACTTAAGAGTCTTGAAACATGAGAGCCACAAGCTAACTCGATTTGACCTCTTTGCCCCAGTTGTTCCATGCCTACTAGTGACCGGACATTGAGGGCAAACAGACGAAAGCTCTTCACATCACCACAGCGTATATTTGGACCATCCATTAACTCTGCAATCCGTTGCACTGCAAGCTTGTGGGGCTGTCCATACATTTTCGTGAGAGCCAACATTGTATCAGTGTAAGGTTGCCTTGAGTTGCAGTAGGAGTCTGCTACAAGTGAAGCTTCTTCACACTGAGATGATCAGTGAGGATCTGGTACTTGTATCTTTCCGTAGCATCGCCTGGTAATAGATTCTCTAAGGCAATCTTCATGCGTGCAAACTCTCTGGGATCTGGTGATATAAATCTGGGGATGGTGGGCTTCGGCCCCTGTATGTGGTTTCTCTTGGTGGCTCATTAAAGCTGGGAACTTGGACAATGAAGATTTTCTATGTGATAGGAAGGTGCGTTCTGTTGTGGTGTGTCTGAATAATACGGGCTCTGAGGCAGACCACCAGATGTTTGGGAAACTCTAGGATTAGTGAAATCTAATCGCAGGTTTCTTTGGGAGCTGAATGTTGGATATTGTAGCTGCTGGTATGCTGGAGAATTGATATGGGGTTGGTAAGGTCCATAACCACCGCTGTACACACTTTGAGGTGGAGGAGGTGGGAACAGAGGCTGATGGGCTGCTGGCTGGGACTGTAAAGCAACCATCAGGCTCTGAAACTGTTTACGAAGCTCAGCGTTTTCTTGGCGCATCTCTTCGAGAGCAGCACTAAACTCTGGAACGTGGCTGGTCTGCTGCTCCCCGGTGACTTGCTCCATAGATTCACAAAGCTCTCGTTCTTGCTCCATATCATCCCTCAAATCCATCATGTCGAAGCTCTGGCTAATGGGTGGTGATGGAGATCTGGTAGTTGGACGCACTAGTCCGCTTTGCTCCTCTGACAATTCCCCTGCAGCTGCTGTTCTGAATCTACTGTGAGCTCCAGGTCCACTTAGGTCATAATCTGACAGGTAGGAAGGAACTGACATCCGTCGTTTGGGTCGAGTGTCCAATGCTTTGACTCTGGGTTCTGCATCTTAAAACAGTATTCTGCTCATCCGGCTCGAAGGACCATTGAAAAATTATTAGAACTTGAACTTGCTGTGTGAATATTCAGAACACTGTGGTGAGTCGGTCAGAACTCCAAAGAACGCAGAGTCGTACTCCAGGTGATTTAACTCGTACTTGCCGTTTATTTAGGTAATTTTGTGTGTGGTTCTAGAAAATAAACAACAATACAACATCAGTGTCTGTATAACATGACTGAAATAACATCACACATACTAAATAACTGCACTCTCAATGATTCTAAACATCACGTTTCTACATACACGCGTGTATAATTCTTAAGTGTGCACGTGAACAGAGCATGCTACTAATTAAGCGAAAAACTAAAATACTCCGCTAAATAAACAATATTATTAACAGCTAACATCACTTACTTGTATTTCCACGCACACACATCAAGGAAGGTAACAATAAACAACAGCCGGTTAAACGAACAAATGCGAAAGTAACTATACTCCTTTTTCACTCTTTTTTCTCTCTTTCTTCGTCTGCATGCTGCAGCTGCTCTAAGCCCCGCCCCTTAATGACTCATCATGGCAGTTTGTTATACAGCCTTTTTCACACTCACCATAGCCTGATATGACATGTAGCACGCTACTGTGGCTCATTTATCAGTTCTGTTAGCATTCTTTGATAGCATTTGAGTGATCTCAGTTTGTAGCTCCCGTTTTGAGTTAATTAGCCTCCCGTGTTTGATAACCCAGAAGTTTGGTGGAGAGTAGGCCTACAGCTGATGTTGGTTGTGATTTGAATCGCGTCAAATCACAATTCGATGCGCCAGCTGATGTCACTTGAGTTGTTAATGATATGGTCCTTTAATCATAATTTCAAATTTAAAACTGAATTTTCTGTCATCAAAATCCAATTTGACAAAGAAAATAACACCTGGAATTTAAATTGTATAAAATCAGCAACTGTTTTTAGCAGATGTATTTAAGATGATAAAACTCAGGTCTTATATATGCAAAAAAAAAAATGCTGGATAATAAGTGAAAGGGTGCGGGAAGTGTATTAATTCACTGTTTTATGTGCATGTACAGTTGCAGATTATCTTGCCTGGTTCCTCTGGTGTATTTTTTTTTTCAATTGTCAACCAAACTGATTGTTTTGAAGGTTATGTGGTTACAGTTCCTGTCAGAAGTTTACCTACAGCCATCATGAGACATGGATGTAATTTTGATTTGAGGATTTTCTTGAACATTTATGTTTTGAGTGTGGACAAGTGAAAATTATTCTATATTATTCTATAACCTATTTGTAGGTTTCCTGAAAGAATCATATTAAGTGATATATCAGTGGAAGTATCTAGCTATACATTTTATGATTGATTATTTAAGCAAAATCCACAGTAAATCTGTGCACTCAGTTCCTATCCTCCAGATTTTTTTTATGTTGTTTGTGGTATTATCCATCCAAACTGGAAAAAGTCAAATTTCATTGCAATATGAAGAACTCAAAATATGATGACTGTGTGTAAACTATGGGGTTGTAACTTTTGTGGTTTATTTTCTTATTATTTTTAGACAGTTCATTTTGTTTTGTCTGTTTGGGTTTTTTTTCCCAGTCTCTTTGACTAAGCCACTCTGGGAGATGTTTCTTTTTAAAATCAATCTGAAAAAAAAAAAAGGAATAAAGAAAACCAGAGACAACCAAGCCTTTGGAATTTTGTGGAGTAAAACTTTGAATGTTTGTATGTTTTAAAAATAAACATGGATTGTTTTCTATGTTAATACTGCCACAATAAAGTTCCCTAACGAATACGGCTGATATGGTCTTGTTTATTCTTTTAGCGATAATCTATTATATTAAAATAATCAGGAAAGATCACAAGCAATTCAGGACACCGCCATTATTTATTGCATTTTATGACAACCTTGTCTCCCTCTTGTGGTACATTTTAACAACTACATTGTCTGTTCTCAGACTGTATAATAAAATACATGGCACTGACAGTACTGTAGATTGGGGGAAATACAACAATATTTCCAGTTTTCACTATCAGAACCAGTTTTATTATTTCTTCATAAACTTTTTGAGAAACAGGAATTTTATGGTGGAGCTTGATCAGAAACGTTGAAGGTCCTCCTTATGTCTAGAAAAGACCAGAACAATGCAACTAAATAAGACAACTAAGAGTAAACAATCACTTTAGCTGATAGGACTTGACTCGTGTCAGCTCATCTTATTGTCAATCACTGTCTTCTTTATCAGGCACACCTTGCTGGAACCAGGTTGGAAAATCCGGTTGCTTTCATAATTGCATTTTCTGTAATAGTTGGAGACGTTTTTAAGATATTTTTGGTTCATCTCAAAGGTGCTCTGTTGGCCTTTGGAGCTTTGTGAACAGGTCTTTCCTACAGGAAGTAGCCTTCAGAAGATGATTGCACTGTGGTAAAGAGACGGACATGGCTACACCGATACTCAGTTTGACTCTGGCAACCAAACAAGGCTCAACTGATATCATCTTGAATTATAAAAATAATAATAAAAAAAAAAAGCTCACAGTGTTAAATCACTAATAGTCTGACCTCTTGATTCAACTCAGGGATGGATCCGTGCTATTTGTATAGTTTACACCAAAAACTGATGGTTGTATCTGAAACCAGGCAACAGATTTTAAATAGTGGTTTTCTGCTTCTGTCGCCCATCTTCTTCAAGTCTTGGTGTTTGTATCTTCAGAGCTGGTGTTCTGCATAAATTGTTAAAAATGGATGGTTATTCTAACTACTATCTAAAACTAGTCTGCATATTAACAGGCACTCTCTTTAAAAATTCAGTTAGGTCTCCTTTATGTGCTATGTGTTACTTTTCATTAACAAACACCAAATGACGATGATGGCATTTTGAAGGCCATTTTGATCACGCAGCGTGATTACAAATCTCCCTCGTTGTGTGATATTTAAAATATTTGCAATAAAAATAATTTCACATGAACTGAAAACATGTTGCAAGGTACCAACAAATGCCACTGTCGAACAGTCTACATGTTTAGTCAAAGGCACCTTTACAAACACACAGCTGGAAAAGTCACGTTCTTACATCGGATGCTGCGACGCACTGGATTGAGGAGTCTGTGTCATCAGGGGGAAATGTTTCTAACATAGAACCATGAGGTTGCATCCAGCAAATGTCTCACAAGTGCAAAAAATAAATAGATAATAGAACTAGAATATGAAAGTCTTGCTTTACAAGCATCTCAGTCAAGGATTTCACTTTTGGAAAAAATAGAGAAGCAGGAAATGAAAAAGCAAAAAATAAATGGTGAGTAATTTTTAAAAGATTAAGAATCCTTGCTCTGCATGAAACAGGCACCGCAAAGACGGAAGATTAAATTCATCATTAAAACATGCCACAAATCCTTAAAAAGGTTTTAAAAATTAGCCACATTTTGTCAACATGAAGAAACCAAGTATTGTGACAATTTGACTTTGAAAGACACACCTGCAGCCATCAGAACTCAAAGCAGATATTTGTGATGAATGAATGCTCCTGTCAGATTGTGCTTGTGAAACTTTATGGAAACAAATACGATGATTTTATGATGAGGCTGTTCAGCCCACCTGCAGAGAAGATCCAATTCAGGAATCACTTGCATTCATAAACATTAGAGGAGCCAAAATATAACATAATTTCTACAACTTTTCATCTGCAATTGTGTTTGGCAGAGCCATCTCCTCGTCTAAAGTCAAAACTAACAGGAATGAAATGTTTAAAACTTAACATACGTTGCTACACAACGTATGTAAGTTACGTATTTAACTAAAGCTAAAACATTTTCCCAATTTTGTGGAAAAACTTCATTCATCTAAATCCCAATTAGAAAGTAAACCAACAAAAAAAAAACATGTTGCGTCATGTTATCTGAGTTTGTTGTCTTCACATTTCTCAGTCAGTCACCGACCACAAACATCTAAAGCTCTGACACAACATCATGTCCAGGAACGTATCCACAGGATTATGTGATCCAGTGTTGTAGGTTTGGCACCGACTGGCCTGCAGGTTGCAGATCACATGCTCTGTTAATGAGCCTGATCAACTCCCAAACACAGAGAATATCATTTCACATACGGTCGGAAAGTGGAACGTCCCGAGCTTTTCCGAGCAGCACATGGCGTGTTCTCATGATGTGAGTATTTCCAATGCATCAGCGATCTGCACCACTCCTTGGACAAACAAAAGATATCCTGGGACTGCGTTTTCACATGCAATCATACCTGCACACAACCTGCAGAACCAATGTTTCCCAGTGAAGGAATGAACAGTAACAATGAACAATTATTTGAACAATAAAGAAAAAATGTTAAAGAATACAACACTAAAACAATACAAAGTGTAACATTTTTCTCAAACAATTATTTATTAGTTATATTAACTCCAAAACACAAGTTATATTTGTCCTCATGGTGACAGAGTGCTGTTCCTGATTGGTCAGACTGCTGGTCGTGTCATTGGTTGGTGTGAAGCAACAGATTCTGGAATAAAATCTGTAAACTGTGATATGTGACACAGGGCGAGTGCATACTCCCACTTATACCAGGCTTCTTGACGATTGTGTTGGGTTTTTGAGGAAGTTGGAGAACCCAACACATTCAAACTCCAAGCAGAAGAGCCCAGGCTGGGACTTGAACCAGGACATTCTCTCTGCAAGGCATCAGTGCTCCCCAACTGAGGCTTTGTCAATAATTTGCAAACAAAATTGTGACGTTCATGGCAAAAATAAAATAGAAAAAACAATCCCAGAGCTTAAAAATGTGCAACTTTTAAAACTGAAATGTCAAAGAAAGAAAGTAATTCTGAGAATCAAAGAGGAAAAGTTTTCAAGAATATTACTGGTATAAATAAAACTTACTAATGATCAGAAGACAGAGAAATTTATACAAAACCATGAAAAGAGCGTATCCACAAATCCACGGTCAAAACAAGGATCAACTGTATGCAGAGACCTTTATGAAGAAAGAGGAAAGATCAGCTGCTACTGGTGTGATTTAATGGAAAAAATAAGCTAGAATACAGAGATAAGGGTATTTGTTGGGGTATTTGTTGGGGTATTTCCAGAAATACTGAGCAGAAATTACAAATTAGAGCAACACTACTTACCCAGCAGTGTTAAAATGTTGCTGCTGTGCCACATAAACACACAAAACGATGTTTTTCTATTTTTAGGTCAAAGGTTTTGATCTTATTGAATGAGAAACCTGTAAACACGCATTCATTAATTTAACTATCATATTCACTGTGTTTAGGGTCACAGGGGTTTGAAGCTTTTAAGACAATGGATAGACTCTTGATACCCTCCTAATACCCGTTAGGAGGAAAAAAGCCCACAAAACCATAAAGATTAAAACGAGGGGGGCTTTTATCTAAAGTTTGATAAACTCTATCGTTGTCACCTATATGTGATTGATTCTTTTGTGAGTTTCTGCAGCCTTGCTTCAGAGGTATGATGACATCAGGGCAGCATGACGGAGCAGCTGGTGTCTCTGTTGCCTTGTAGCTCGAAGTTCCTGGGATTCAAATCCCAGCCTGATGTTTTTCTGCTTGGTGTTTGCATGTTTTCCCTGTGCATTGGTCCGTTCTCTCCGGTTACTCCAGCTTCCTCCCACAGTAGTTACACCGTGACTTGAACGGCTGGATGGATTATTACATCACACCTTGACACAGCTTTACTGGCTTCTCTCTAACTAGATCTTTGATGAAAAACCTTTAATTCTCTCAACATAACAAAACTGAAAGATTGAAAATATACTTTATCATCGTCATTGTAAGATGATAATTTTAAGATAGATGTGACGACAGAGAAACTTGAAAAAGGGACCTCAGTTGGATGAAACTCCTCATTCATTTTCTCTTCTTGGCTTTTATTCGTCTTTAAAAGCCGCCATGGTTTTAACAGCATTTGCAACACCATCGTCAAGAATCCCGTCATTGGTTTATCAGGATTATTTATCATGACAAATAGAAGAAAAAAATAAAAAGAGAGGAATATAAAGGAGGAGGGGGGATGTAAAAGTGAGGTAACAGGATGACAGAGCATTAGCTATGAAGCTGCAGCCTTTCATTAATAATGGGGCTGTTCTTCTCCCCATAATCTCTGAGTGTCTTCAGACATGAAAAGCAAGTTGAATGCCGCAGGAGAGTAAAGCTCCAGCAGTCTGTGGTCTTGTTATCATCAACTCTGGGCTCCTCAGTCTCTGTTAAACTTGAAGCTTCACGACGATGGCATCAATAAACAAGGTGGCCGAGGAGGAGCAGGGCCGCCTGAGATCGCTTTTCCACACCTACGACGTGGACAACTCAGGACGGATAGAAAAAAATGAATTTTCTGCTATCTGCCAAGAGCTCCAGGTTCCTACTGAAGAAGCAGAGAGCATATTCAGCCGCCTGGACGCTGACGGTGATGGCACGGTTACCTTAGAGGAGTTCCTCAGTGGATTCACAGACCAACATGACAAGGAACAAATAGAAGAAGAAGAAGACATGAACTTACCTGTGGAAGAATTTTCAATCAACAAAGAGCAAGTCATGATCAGGTGAGCTGACAGATTTGTTTGTATAAAGGTGTTTATATTTACAGTCAAATGTAGTTCAAAACAAGTAAACAGTTGTTTTTGACATAAATAGCAGCAACAAAAAGCCTCACTGTGCGTTCCTGTCATTGTGCTTTCAAAAAAAAATGTTTCCCATAATTATGTGATGAGCAAGTAATTGATTTTATCTTATAATAATGAACCACCCTGTACTTTGTAAATTAAACTATTATTACTTGCACTGAATAATTAGTTTGAGCACTTATACCTTTAGATAATATGAGATTCTAGCCTATCACTCTGCTTGGCTATCTGGAAATATGAGAAAGTATAAAATGACAGTGGCCATAATTGAGTTCCATAAATTGTACTGGCCCTCTAAGTTCATTCAGTTACATTGCAGCTACTTTCCTTGTGCGTAAAGTCTACACCTTCATGTTGGAATCAGAAGGAGGAGTGAGCAAACACTGTGACACAGGTACTGAGGGCAGGTGCGTTACCTGAGTCCCAGACAGCGCTTTTCATTTGAGACAGCTAGGATGGATTTTACATCGCTCTACTCCGAATTTACTCACTTTTCACCCAAAATTTGACTGACGCAAAAAGAGGCTGGAAATGGTTGGCGGAAGCGTTTCGGAACTGCGGGTTACACGCTAAACCTTTTGTTTCGCGGTCATCCCGAGGAACAGACACTTGCTACTTTCTTTGGGTTTCTTGGCATTCCCCTTCCCAGTGGTCGCTCCTCATTTTAAGATTGGGCTTCCTCATCTTCCCCTTCAGCCAGCCGCAGTCTTCCGTCAAGGGTATGAGCGCGGAGGAGAGGGACCGGCTGTGCGCCCTCTTTCGCGCGTACGACGTCGACAACTCCGGACGCATCGAGAGGAACGAGTTCCTCACGATCTGCGCCGAGCTGCAGGTGTCGGCGGTGGAGGCGGACAGGATCTTCCAGCGGCTGGACGTGGACCAGGACGGAACCGTCACGCTGCAGGAGTTCATCCACGGCTTCCACGACCGCTACGGAGAGGACATGGAGTCCGACGGGGGACAAGTGTCCATCGCCTGGGAGACCTTCGAGAAGAGACTGGGCGAGCAGGCGAAGTTCATCCCGAGGTGAGAGAGAGAGAAAGAGAGAGAGACAGACAGAGAGAGAGAGAGAGAGAGAGAGAGAGAGAGAGAGAGAGAGAGAGAGAGAGAGAGAGAGAGAGAGAGCGCACCTGTCCGGGTGGCTGCATGCGTTAAAATATGGAAATGTCCAGAAAGATAGGAGGCTGTTCAACAGAGAGCGCAGTGTGCGTAAAGCACCGACAGTTTTATCTTTGCTGCGAACATTTAACATTATGAAGAAAACAAAAAGTACGAAAGACTGAACGCAAACATTCAAGTTCATGTTGTGGGGGGAAAAAAGCAAATGCTGTGTCTGTTTTCTCTGGAAGTGAGTTTGTAAGAGTTATTTACTTTAACTGAGTCAGTAGGACTAATAAATGGAATGAAGTTTTTATAAAAAGTAAAATTGTCTGAGAAGGACCACAATGTAAAAATAGACAACTATTTAGATTTAAAAAAAAACGCCCAAAATCATATAAATTCTAGTTGCGCTTTGTAATATGTTCAAACCATAAATATTTCCCCTACAAATATTGAATACAAAATTAAAGCACCAATTGTTGAGCAGAACTTAATAAATCATGGAGAAACAATTATTAGTCATTTCTTATAAGACGGTAAAGGTCTTGCTTAAAAAGTGTAGGCTGCCTGATCCAGAAAGTGAGTTTGGATCAGGACCTGAACAATCTCTTACAGTACCTCTTCATTCACTTTTTGTTATGGGTTATCAATATTTGATAATTGTCTATCAATCAAGTTTATTTGTGTAGTTCATAACAAGATGGAACTTTGTTTTTCATCAGCAGTCTATCTGTTCTCTCTTAAGTGGCTTTACTGAAGAGTTGCACCTTTTTTCTTACACTTTGTCCAACATGTTTTAAATAGCTATTCATCAGTCCATGGCTGCTTCCTCAGATTTTGTGGTTTAATTTGTTTTGTACCAAGTTTTGTCCATTACTATTCAAGTCAAAATGTACTTTTTGATAACACGTTACCGTAAACTCAATTTAGTTAAAAAATAAATAAAAAAATTAAACAGCAAGTATATGATATTTGAATAATAATAATAATAATAATAATAATAATAATAATAAGAAGAAGAAGAAGAAGAAGAAGAAGAAGAAGAAGAAGAAGAAGAAGAAACATTTGCTAGTATAATAGTTATTTTCAGTCCTTGATGATCATACTTGAGTTACTGCATCAATGCAGAGTGGCATGGAGATGAAGCCCAGCTTATTTTATTAGAAAACTTCACTTTGGACCCTAATCCACTTGGAACTCGTGAGTCTTCTGATTGGGCTTTGGGTCACAGTCCTCACAACATTGTGGTTGTCCGTGCTGTTCTTTCTTTTTCTAAGATATATTTTTCTTCCACTAAACTTTCTAACATTACATTTCTTTGATATTATGTAACATTCTAATGTTCTTAGAAACAGACCTTCAGCAAAATTCAACTTAGTAGATTTTCACTAGACAGGTTGACTGCAAGTAATCAGGACTTGGAGTTATTGAAAACTTCTGGCTCAGCTTCAACCAACTCAGGCAAAATGATCCCGATAACAAGATTTGCACATATGTGATCACATTTTCACTCGTTTTGTTGAGAATATTTTCTTGTTTCAGGTCTTCCAAGTGGCGTACGGACTTACTGTCATCAACCCAACACCTTTGTGTTGTTTTTTTTCTCTCTCTTTTGAAACTAAAGCTCGACTGCTGCAAAACTAAACAAATATTTCTTCTTACTCTGTGGCACTAAATCTGACTAAACTTTTCCAGTTTTTGTCAGCAAGGATAGTCAAAATGTCTTCTATTTGCTCATGTCAGAAAAAAAAAGACCAAGACCAAGAACTGCTTTGCGGTAAAACCACTGGGAAGACTCATTTGAACCCAACCTTACCTTCCTTTTTGATATTTTGAATTGCTGCTTCATTGTTATGCTAAGATTATGCTCTTTTCTTATGGTGCTTTATAGCTTACGAGATGCACTGGTTCCACCTCAAGAAAAACAACCCAACATGATTCTGCCGCCCCCAGTGACAGTTTGGGCAGCGTTATGACTTCCCAGGCTACATGGATTTTTTCTGAATCTAGTAACAGACATTTTTGGGCATTACTTAACACTGTGAATCTAATTTGAAGGTCAGATGGGTTATAGCATATTTAAAGCTGAAGGAGGAAAGTTGATTCAAAATGGCTGAATTTGTCCACGTTTCAGTGAGTGTGTGTGTGTGTGTGTGTGTGTGTGTGTGTGTGTGTGTGTGTGTGTGTGTGTGTGTGTGTGTGTGTGTGTGTGTGTGTGTGGGTGTGTGTGTGTGTGTGTGTGTGTGGCCTCGGGCCTTGCATGAGACTGATCCTCGCGCTCCAGTGCTGTGGCATCAGGACATCAATTGTCACAGTCGTGGTTTCTGCTAAAAGGACTCATTTATCTTCAAGTTCTTACAATCTCTGGTTCATTAGTCAGCTGAGACAATCATTTGCACATGAGCTCATACCTCACATCTGTTTTTCAAATAAAGATAGAATGTTTTGTTTCTGAGAATCAACGTTAAACAAGAAAAATCTGTAATTTGCCAACAGGAAATTTTATTTTAGTTGAAGTTGGGGTAACTAGAAGATCTTTTGAGGAGATTTTGGTGTTTTCACACACCTGGTTAATAAGATTCACATGTTTAGGTTTCAGAAAATCTTAGGAAATTCTTTTTATAGTTGGGTAGATTCGGTAGCTGTTCCTCAAACCCAACTTATTTTAATTAAAATACAAAAAATGCCTTGTCTGCACTCATTCGTTTTTTATGTATAAACCACTTTAAGTTTCATCAGAGACATTTATTAAACTTTTTCACATTTTGTCACAACTCTTCAACTTGCGTTCTAGTACAAAAAAAATCTGTGAGAGATGCTGTGAATTTATATTCTGCTCCTCGGGATGCTATTTTCCATGGGGAATGTGAAAACGTTCAAATTTCATTTTCATCTCGTGGGGTTTTATTCACTTTTCATTTTGGACTTCAGGTGAACTCCAACTTTCTGTTATAAACGACATCCTGACAACCACCTCTGTTTGTATCTGTATACACTTGACCTTTGCTCTTCTGATCCTGTGGGTTTTTTCATTTACTTGTGTGTATTCTGTCATTGACTCTGTAGTGACGCTGCAGAAAGATGTGTGTCACAAGGGGCTATCATCATTACTTTATGTCACGTTGTCTGTTTGCAGAGGATTATAGCCTCTCATCCTCTTCACTGAACAAACACAGTCTGACCATTCACAGGATCTACTTTTACCTTCCTGCTGAGTCAGAGAAAATTGATCTTGTTATGTTTCTAAAGCGACATACATTTGATCAACATTGTGGCTATAAGGTAGATTTTTAGCTCAAGTTGACATATTATTGTAAGGTTTTTACTAAAAATGTCATCATGTTTTGAGTGAGAGGTAAATCATTATAATTAAAAGTTAGTTTTTGGCAAAGGCTTCAATAAAATAACAGCAGGCTTTCCATGTTTTCTCTAAAACAGACTTAACAGTGAAAAGAGGTTAACTCTGTAATTTAAACTCAATATTCAGAATTTAAGGAGTAAATGTGTTATTTCTACTCAAAATAAACCAGGAGAGTTTACTTTCAAATTACTCAGTCTGTCCACACTAAGGTTTATGCGATCTGCGAAGTTCAGAAAAAAACTACAAAAGTAAAAACTAGTGAAAACAACTAAACAGATGCCATTTTTTGTCCCGAAAAATTGACAAACCTTTATGATACTTTATGCTCTGCATGACAAAAGCATTTTTGTACGTTTGAAACGACAACCACAAAAAGCTCCATCAACAAATGGAGCTTTGTGGAGAAATGATTTAAAGTTTAAGATGTTTTACTCCAAATTAGCTGCATATTTGATCTGTCTGTGTCACCCTCTTAGAGCCAACCAACCAAACCAAAAAAAAAGTGTTTGGTAACCTGATTTTTTTTTTGGTTTGTTTTTCAGGCATGAACAGGCAGCAACGTTGTACCAGAACATCAGCCTGACTGAGCCCAGACTGATTCCTCAATTTGAGAAAGTCATCGTTAACTTCACCAAGGAGATCAAGCAGCAGAACTCAGAGATGGAGAACCTGGCTCTCGCCATCAAGAGGTGAGCAAAACAAGCATACCTAAATGGTCCTGTGATGGATCACAGAATACGCCGGTGAATTACAGCGAGCCGATTCTTTTCCAGAGCACAGGACCAAGCGTCGATGCAGCTCAGTGAGATGGAGGAGGAGATGGACCAGCGAATTCAGGCTACGGAGAGAAAAACTCGTGAGCAGGTGGGGCATGGTCTGAACTGACGCATGGAAAACCTGCAACTTTCAAAAGAATTCAGAAGATTACCATGTTTTGACATGCCACAATAGTTGCTGCGAGCCGTTTCTGCTCCTTTCTCTGGAGTTTGAGTAAGCAACGTGATAAGCAGGCTGCGTTTGTTCAGCTCTTCCCTCATGTCAAACAAACACACACAGCTGTATATCAGATTACCGATCCAAACTCCGACACGCCTGCTGATCAGGCGGATTTCACAACTCTGTGGATGTAAAACCAGTTGGAAGGCAGATGGAGGTGCTGGGGCATGGTTTATCCTCCAGTATAAAATGATAAGGCTGCACATATTTGGGGCGATAAGAGTTGCGGCGTGAGGATAAAGCGACAATGTGTGTGTCGCCTGCCGGCGAGCCACCGTCAGTATGGTGCCAGATAACAGCCAGCACTTCAAATCTGGATGAGTGAAAGGCAATGCGACCTCAGGTGTGAGTCTGAGATTTCAGTGTCACATGCAATTTATTATATACAATTTTTCTGTAGCTAAAGTAAAAAGTGCAGCAAAAAGGAAGGACATTCTGAAAACAGGAAAACTTCAGAAAATAATGACTAACTTTCACTTCACAGTATCTTCTAATCATCTTTTAAGTCCCATTTTATGGTTTTCCTTTGATTTTGACATTTCATCTGCACTAGATGAAATTCTTTTGTCTTTGCTATGTTGAAAAAGTGAATTCACATCCTTGAATTTTGTGAAGTTACAACCATCAACTTTCATCTCTATTTGGATTTTAGCAAATAAAATGAATGTAGAATTGTAGAGCAAAAACATTATGTGATTTTAAATTCTATGAACAAACAAAACGATGCAAAGGCAGACGTTCATTTGCATCCAGCTTCTCACTCTGAGGCTACCAAATAAAATCCAGTGCAAGTCACAGGCTTTAGAAATAGCTTGTTGAATAAATGAGAACACTGAAACTGATCCTGCTAGTTTATGTTTAAAGTTTCCCGTTAAACAGCAAGTGTAATTCTATGCTTTTAGAAATTTCGTCCGCTGTGTTTCATCAGTGTTTTCTGCATCATGTATCTGAAGAAAGTCATGTAAGGCCACAATAAGAGCAATTATTAAATACAATATACATTTTATTTTAAAATTTACATTGACTGGAATCCATTTTCAATAAATAAAGAAAGAGCATTTTCTTTCAAAAATCCCGCTTACTGAAAGTTGATCAGTGTTGGTTGAGAAGCTGCACCAGCAAACAACTACAGTTTAATTCTCTGCTGTTTCAAGTGCAAATAGTATTCAAATCAGTTCTCAGAAAACTATATTTAGTCACCCTAATTTAATTTTGAGACCCTGATGTTAATGGGAGCCTTGGTGGCTGTCTTATCTCTGTTCCGGTGTGTTATGTAAGTGTTCTCTAGCGAAGGAGCTGCTGTTTGTTTTGTCCTAAAATAACCCATAAAATCAAAAGGCGCTCACCTGTGTTCTCCCACAGTGCGATAAATGTGCAAACGGTCTGCATCTGAGCACTCTTTGAACTTCCTGTCACTTTATATCGGTGGTGCAGTGATAGCTTAAGGTTCATATTTAAAGAGAGAAAACAGATTTTGAAGGTGAATGTAATTTTGGATCTTATGCGTGTGTGTTTTCTGTAGGAAAAGAAGCGAACAGAGGCTGCACTCAATGAGCTGCGGAGGAGTTACGACACTGAAGTTTGTGAGCTCCAGTGTAAAATCCAGAGGATGCAGATGGTATTTTTTGATTCTGTCTTACTTAACACATCAGCAGTGCAAGTCACATGTTTCTGAAACAACTACGCCAATCAGGAAAAACACTGGAACACAGCAGAGATTGACAAAAGTTACTTACATCATCAATCTTGTTTTGATCCATTCTTTGTTGTAATCAACAAGAAGTTGGTGTGACATAATCCCGACTGAATATTTGACTGCTCTTCTTTGCTAAATGAATTCATTTAAATCAGGCGGTTTCCTGACTCCGACTCTGATCTTTCCCATAAGCAGCTGCCAGCAGACTGAAGTATGCTGGAATACCAGTGTCACTTTCACAGTCAGGCCAGTTCAACTCCACCATCATGAATAAAAAAAAAAATCATCTAAAATGTACATTTGTGGGATGAAACAAATTCCTTCAAAGAAAAAGTTCAAAATCACACAACTCAAAAATTTGGCTTTAAAACCTGAGAACACTTAATCATCAGTCAAGCATGGTGGTGGCAGCACAATGCTGTGGGGTTCTTGGGCTGCTTGGAAATATATGGGCCACACTTGTTTACTAGATCTGTGTCAGGAAACCAACAAATTCTGCAAAGTAGGATGCGAAAACGTCTAACCAGAATTAAACCAGAGCAGCAAGTGGTGGAAAAGGGGCATTCACTAAAAGTTAGAGGGGATTTACGCAAAAATATTCATATTATAAATACACTCAAAAAAACTAAACTTGATGCAAAATGTTAAAGGTCTCTTCAATCGGCGTATTTGAGCAAGTTTCTGCCATAAAGTGTGAACAACGAGATGCTTCATATGGAAACTGGGTCAAAGTTTGACCAAATAAGATTAAAAACAAAAACTGCCTCTTCAAAATTTGTTCCACCACAGTCACACTGTCTGTCGTCCCAAGAAAATGAGTAAACATGTTCGTTTTCAACATTGAAAAGAGCCAAACTAAGACCAAGCTGGAATCTTACTGTTGCTTTTAGTAAAATATACAAACTGCAAGGACAAGTAATCCCACATCTTTGACCTTTGACAGATAGAGCAGAAGTACAAGAACATCACAGTGAAAGACGAGAGCCCAGCTTTAAAGAAGAAGATCAATGAGTTAACACTGGTGAGACCAAATTCACTTTGGTTCATTCATGACGCAAGGTTTGTTTTGCTCTTTTTTTTCTGATCTTCTGCCAATTTATTATAATTTTTTTTCTTCAGGAAAACCAAAAATTAAAACAAGAGCTTCTGAAGTCTCAGACCAAAGTTGCCTGTATGCAGAGTGAGATGGATGGGTTAAAGACAGAGTTAAGTGATCAAAGCATGAACTCAGAACGGTAAAAGAAACATCATTTGACATATTTTTATTCTTCTATGTGGTGCTTATTTTAGTTGTTTTTTTTTAGTTCAGTGCTGTTATTACATCGAAATATAGAAATAGCATCCAGAGCAGGAATCCTCTGTTCCTTGTTCTATAACCAAAGCAAGACAACAGTCATGAGGAATTTTTGACATTTTCCATGAAATAAAATGTCACTTACTTTCCTAAGTATCTCTCACTTCACTCTTGTTGAAATGAGAGTGAAAACCATGGCAGTGTACAAAGAGCCTTGGCAACCCATCAGAAAGAAGATTGTGTTCATTATTCTTTTATGAAGAGGTCTCAAAAGAGTTTTAAATTAGTTTTTTTCACTGTACAGAAATTACAGTGTCCAAATTCATGGGCTGCACCCTCCTTTGGAACCAACAGCAAAGACTAAAAGTGAGCAGCCAGGAAACTGGCTGGTAAAAATGGAGCTAGAAAACCTGCAGATTTTTTTCTGTCAAGCCTTGAATCATTTGTCCTTTGCTAAACTGTTAAATTCAGTAATATCTATTCAAGTGATAAAAGCGTAACAACACAACTGCTTTAAGGTTTTAACTTTATTACCATCAGATTTTATTACTCACTTTTAAATCTGTGTTCGTCTTCTGCTTCTTGCACCGGTGTTGCAAGTTCAAAAATCTCTCATTCAGCCCTCAGTAAATGTTCAGATAGGGTGAACTGGGAAGAATCGATCAACCCAGTCCTGAAAATGAAGGGAAAGGAGAACATATTCATGGAGGAGCCTTAATCACATCAATTGGGCTTCCAATACAACCTGATGCTGCATTTGAAGGGATAACACTAGTCATTGACGAGTGTAGTATTCTAACTTTTTTACTACAAACTGCAGTTTTTTGTTGACATATCGTTTATTGCACTAAACAAGAATATCTGCATTTACATTCTATGAGATTACTTTCTATCTTTCAGAAATTAAAAATTAGTTCAGACAACAACATGTGAATGTTTCTTAGAAAAAAAAAAAACTGACTTATTTCCTGGGGCGTCCTGATTCTTTTATGGTCCGTAAAACCCATAAATGGCCTGGAGTTTCTGCACTCAAACGGCCCCGTGTGAACTGAAGCACAGAGTCTGGGAGCCGAGGGCCCAACTCGACCTGCAGAGTGACGCTGGTTTGGCCTCAGGTGGTTTTGTTTTGTCAGAGGCGAAACAGGATATCCTGGAGTGACTCTGCACACACAATAACTTTCTCAGAAGGATTGCCTGGCAACAGATGAAACCAAGTCACTGGGAGACAAACACTTGGCCCTCATGGATCTGCTCATCATCCTCACACAGTCGCTTCTTTACCTTATGCCTGTTACTCAGAAGTTGTGTCAAACTTTTTATTGCAGCTTGGCGATTTCACTGCTGTGGATAAACATCTAAACTTCATGACATATGTTGCACAAATTCTTTTTAAAGTTTGATATTTGGCATGGTATGGAGAGACAGAGGGATTTTTAGGCCTTGTTTGTGTCTCGTATTTTGCTGCAGAGATGAGGAGCTCATGAAACACTTTGCCGATGAGCGAGACATCCTGGAGAGCCAGATTGAGATTCTGCAGTGAGTCTGACATTAAAAGTAGCATAAAGACAGGAACATAAAACATGCATTCTTGAATTTTTCTTTTCTTTTTCTCTGAATGGACAGGACAGCCAACAGGAAGCTCCATGACACTAACGACAGTCTGAGGTCGACTCTGGAGAAAATCACAAGGGTAAAGACGCTGAAAATACCTCCCTTTTCCCCTGTGAATGTGATGTGATTCTGACCATTTTTAGGCAACAACATGCCATTAAATTTAACTTTATTTCAAATTTAAAGCAAAACTTGCTTTTTAAATGGATCTTCCATTGAATTGTGTTGTTTTTGTGCTACAGTCTGGTAACGGTGGATCCCCAGGAGACATCAAGAACAGAAACAGGAGTAAAAGCATCTGCTACCCATCACCACATGCATTATTAGACAGGTAAAGTAAAACACACAGCGGTATATGCAGACTGATCGACATGCTGTTATTGTAACCTGTAGATTCGCTGCAGAGCGAAAATTAAAGTGTGAGCTTAGATATGTTACTGTAGGCAGTTTTATTTAAAGTACTATGTAAGCTCAAGGAAGGTTTTCTCCTCCATCCTAACAGGTGGCAACATACATTTTTTAAAGGATTTATTTGCATGTTCTGTGAATGTGAGTGAAGGAAATATGGCTGTCCACTTCAGCTGTCTAATCACACTGAATAAAATTGTGCTTTTTTGTTTCTGTAAAGCAGAGATGGACATTAGAATGAGTGACGTAGCCTATAGGCTGTGGCGCTGCTAAACATTGGTGTTAATACGGACAGTAAAATAATATTTATTATACAAATGAATGAAGATTAGGAAGGAAGTTTCTAATTTATTTACAGAGGCAGGTCATTGCTATAACATATGCATGTTGTGATTATAGCAGCAAAATAAAATAAGGATAATGTCAAACAAAGTAACCTTCAGATTGACAACAGGAGTGGGTCCAGGATGGACCCCAGAGGAACTCCACATGTAATCCCAACTTATCTACTGTCAGCAAAACAAATGAGTACATTTGACTAAATGTTTTCTCAGGCTCGGCCAGCGTTTGGATGATTTCCCTCTGTACCCACGTCGGCCAAGCTGCGACACTCTGGCCCTGGCCATCTGTGACCCTGGGCTGAGGCGAAGACACAGCAGCGAGTGCGAGGAGGACAGCCTGGCTGAGATCTACGTGGACAGCGGCATGTCCACGCTTAGAGGCTCGCATGGCGGCTACGACTGGGAGCCGGAGGTCCAGGGTCCAGACGGTGAAGAGGAAGGAAGGAAGGACAGCATACTGGGTGAAAACTCTGACACAGAGGTCAGATAATAGAGGTTAACGCTTATACATGGTTCTATACAAACTGCTTAACATTAAAGTCAAGAACTAGAGGAATATATGTTCAGGAAAGCACACACTACTTTTTGATATTCCCAAAAACCTAAATTAAATGCCAGACTTTTATTCAACGGCTACAGATTTCAATGTTACTGTTAAATTGCTCGGTATGTGTGTTTCTCTCACAGCCAGCAGAGCCTCAGGACGGAGAGTCGGCGATCGGGTCGGACTGCAGCTCAGTTTTGGATTGGAAGCCCACCGACTCGCTTGGTGCCTCTACGCCTCCCGTCCCGACTCCAAAGAAAACTATCAGCGCCATCAGCGTTCAGGTGCGAGAGCGACACAAAAGCTTTGGATTTCAAGTAACCTATCCATGGAACATATGAGAAATGTAGCAATACTTTATAACACATTATAACTTTGTAAACATTTGTAAGTTTCAGATTAAAGTGTTTTTTAGAGTTTTTGTCACTCAATTGTCAATCTGTATGTTGACAGAAATACTTGTCAGGCTCAGAGTGGAGCTGCTGCTCCTCTGACAGGCAGTGAGCATCTGAACAGGACGTCGTTCTGGAAGGGCAGATATAGAACCTGCTGGAGGGACAACATATACTTCAACATATACGTCCCTTTCTTTCATGGGAAAGCCTTGAAATCCCTCAGAAAGAGCAGGGAAGGTGCATCGGCGACCCATGTACACAGCAGTGACAAGTTCGAGTCCTGGCCTGTTTTCCTCTGCCGAACGTCTTTGCCCTCTCACCTGCTTTCCTCCTCTCTATCAAAGAAAGAAAGAAATTTAGAGCCAAAAAATCCTTTAAAAAAGCAGGAAGCGTCATTGTTCAGACAATGACACTTCTGCATATGTTTCTCTATCAGTAGAGGAGTAAAGGACAGTGGGCAGTTGGATGGATAATCAGAGCTGATTGACCCTCTGATAGTTACTCTGACGTTTACTCCTTTATCTCCTTTGCAGAATGACGACAAAGAAAACGCTGACCTCGGCTACATGACGTCAGAGAAGGCCTACAGGATTGTCTTAGCCGGAGACGTGGCTGTGGGAAAATCCAGCTTCCTGCTTCGCTTCTGCAAGAACGAATTTAAACTGAACTCCAGCACTACTCTGGGTGAGATGGAGAAACTAAAACCTGTGCTGGCTGCTGATAAATATTGTATCAGAACCAGGACATCTTGATTTTAAGTCAGCTTTTGTTTTCTCAGGCGTGGACTTTCAGATGAAGACACTCATTGTGGATGGAGAGCCAGTTTTGTTACAATTATGGGACACTGCAGGGCAGGAGAGGTGAGTGAGGAAAACAAAAAGTAATATTTATTGTGCATGCACAATAAAGGGAATTGTTCTACTCCATAAGAGTGTAATAGTGTCCTTGACAACTTTTGTTTTCTTATGTTTTTGTGAACTTCATCTCTTCTTCTGTTGTCCTCACAGGTTTCGCAGTATTGCCAAGTCCTACTTCAGGCGTGCAGATGGTGTGTTGCTGTTGTACGATGTCAACTGTGAGAAAACCTTCCTGAATGTTAGAGAGTGGGTGGACATGATTGAGGTAACGCACTGGGGTGCTTCCCTGCTATTTCCAGACAGTTTCACATTGAGCCAGGTCATAAAACTTGTTCAATCCTTCAACTAACGCGTGCAATAAATTCATTTAAATGTAAAACTAAGTGGTCCTACATGTTTCTCTCTTCCTATTTGCAGCCGATATGTAAGTTTTTGATGGACAGCAGGTATTTGTGTGTTTTGCTGTCCTGTGAACTTTGAGTTTTGCATGCTGGTCTTTCATAGTGGTGTGATGTCGGTGAAAAGAAAATAGAAATATGTCCATTCACTGCTGCACCATGTTGAAATGTTAACAAGGCTACACCTTTTCTGAATTTTCACGATCTGCACCATGACATCATCAGAGCTCTAATTGTTATTTCTTTCCCAGGATATGTCCCATGATGACATTCCCATCATGCTTGTGGGTAACAAGTGCGATCTTCGACAAGAGGGAGATAAATCTGTTCCTACCAGCTATGGACAAAAGCTTGCAATGGTAGACACAAACTAAATAATTTTATTACTAATCTCAATAAACTAGTTTTTACTTCATTTTTTGATCCATTCATTTATTTGCCTGTTGATACATTTGTATTTATCACAATATGCATTTATTACAGTTAAGCCCAAAACTATTTAATCTTAACATTTCGGAAAGGTTCAGCCAGAATCCTGACTTAAACGTTTTAGAGAATCTAAAGCTTAGGGTGATGGCAAAGGGGTCTTCCAACCTGAAAAACATGGAGCCTTTTACCTGAGACAAATCATCAAAATACCAGTGGAAATGTGCAGAAAGTTGATGCAGGAACTTTTCTGTTAGGTCAGGAATGATGAGTTATCTAATTAATAAAATCTTTTTTGATCTATACTCAAATCTTCTTTCTATTTAGTGTTCAGACCAAAGGTAAATACAAACAATAAATTATAATAATGTATTTCTGCCTCCATCCACCAGACGTACAACACTCTGTTCTGTGAAACCAGTGCCAAAGACGGCTCCAACATCCTGGAGGCTGTGCTGCACCTGGCCAGGTGAGGCGCTGCCTGTTTCTAATCCAGGTTTAGTTTAAATAATTTACGTCCTTCATAACTTATTTTTGTCTCGAAGATTGCTGTTAATTGCATGACTGATCAATGTCATTAGATGCTCTTTTATGTATTATTATTATTATTATTTTGTCTCTGGCAGGTTGGTAATCAAGCAGGCCACCTTTGAGGAGAAACGCTATCAGTCGCTGACCAGTTTAAATGCTCCCAAGAGTAAACCGAAGCTCTCCTGCTGCGCCTGATCAAATTCACCTGATCTGCCTTAACGTGAAGAATGCAAGGAGCAGACATCTAACAAAACGGCAATACATACAGAAATAATCAACAACCAGAACTGTTTTATTTATGAACAAAGTGGCAAAAAGAAGCGAGATAAGATTCAGCCACTGTACATCAAGAAGTTTGAGTTATTGCCAACTTTTTCTCTGTGAAAGATAATTTCATTGGTTTTTGTGCTGTCATACGTACTTCACAGGATGTATTTATGAATTGTTTGCCATTCAAACATGTTTCTTAGAGAAAAACTGAATCATGATACTAAAACTGGGAAAATGAGGAGGAGGTTGGAAAGTAAAGAAAGGGAAAGTGAATATAATGAAATGATGTGAAAATAATGGAAGAGGTTTATGTGTCGCATTTTTTTTACTGTTGGGAAAAGATACAAAGAGTATTGATGATGAAAACAGAGATGAGAATTGAGGCAGATTTAAGCAGTAAATGTCCATGATGGTTCCAGGTGCAATGTCCTGACCCACTTTTAAAAAATACCAAGCAGTGTTACACTTTTGTTGTTATAAAGTTTCTACTTGTTTATTTCAGCTCCGCAAATGCTATTAAGTTCAAGATGTTCTCTAAATTATAAATAAATAAACGAGAGTAGAACAGTGTGTAGACTGTTATTTAGCAATGCACAATTTTAATTCAATAAAGCAATTATTGCGTGCTTTCTGTTTTCTGTGGCAAAAGGGCAACAAAGGTGTGATTTTGAATAAAAAGCCTGTGAGTGTGAAATATCTAAAACACAAATAGTCTCAAGATGGGGGACATTTTTGTGAAAGCTGTTCCAGTTTTACATTCACTTAACATTTAAATTATAAATTAAACAGAAACACTAAACTGTCAGTGTTGCCTGGACTGGAGGGTCTAAATAGTGACCAGCAAAGAGAAATTCGGCTGAAAGAGTTAGAAAAAAGAAATCCAAGCCCAGTTCACAAAAAAAATTGAAAAATTATGGCTGACACAACTGGAGACTAAAAAAAATTAAAAGCTAGATCAAGATAAATAAAATAAGCCAGAGTGACTATATAGGTGACAAAATATGTGTGATAAGTTGAAAGCAGAAGGCTGAGACAATTGAATCTAATTAGTAGATTAAATGGCTGAAAGTACATAAAACGGAGCAATAACAGTAACAGAACTGATCTGTCACAAACAGAAAAACACTCAAAAGGTTCAAATAAAAATATATAAAGTGTATCCACACCTTTTCACTGATCAGTATTTCCAAATTCACCTATTCATGGATTTTACAATGGAACTTAACTTCAAATGTAGCATATTTAAATCATTTAACAACAAACAAGTACAGCTGGAAAACTGAAACTCCTGGGAGCAATGCTACTTGACACAATGTTAGGATTTGCAAATCAGCCAATCTCGAAGTGTCATTTATTTTCCCAGGCTCTGATTGGCTGTACCTCTAAGAACTTAAGTAAGGAAGACTGTAGATGTTGCTGCTGCTGTACAGCCAACACGGTTCTCTGTGCGTTTATCAAGGTATAAACAGGCAGTTAGAGAAGCATTTTCAATGGGATCTCAAAATATTTTAGCTATTCATGAGTTGTTGTGGTCTTTAACCCCCATGAATGAATAGTTTTGGTTTGCTTTATTATATATTTAGTTCATAAAAACAGTAGATTTACATATAGAGCAAAATCTACTCCCTTTCTCCTTTGACAGGATGTAGAAATAGGCTAACAGTAACTTTCACAGTTGACAACAAACTGGACAGGAGACTCAATAGTGAGGCTGAAGATCCTTCAGCTGAAAGAAGATCCTTCAGTTTTTACATCGAGACGTGGAGAGTGTAATCTTTTTCGCCAATATGTTTGGGGGTTTAGCAACGTCAGAATTAGGGTCTTAAAAAACCAAACAAGCCGATAAAGAAGGTTGATTCTGTTCTGGGGATTACTCTGGGACCTCTGTACTGGAGAATATTGTACAAAGAGGGATTTTTCATTAAACAAAGAATATTATGGACAACCCTGAGCATCCTTCCGATCAGACACAACAGAGCGTCTTCAGTCAGCGGCCTCTTCAGAACCGTTGTAATACTGACCACACCAGGAGATCTTTCTTTCTCACAGAAATCAACAACTCCGAGAAGAACCTCTTATTTTATTTGAAATGAAATTAATTTGAATCATTATTTGTTCTCTGTGTGAACTTGGAATATTGCTACTGAATATATTGTTGAAATAAACTTTCAGACAGTGAAAAATTTATTTTAAAACTTGGCGTAAAGACCGCAGTGATTTCTAAGTGTTTACATGTAATTTATTGAAGCTTTGGAAGTGTTTTTATTTTCTGACATAAGGAGACATTAAATCAGAGAGTTTGCTCTCAGGAAACACTTTGAGACACCCTCCTGTTAGCAATGAATCTGGAGGTCGCTCTAAGCACAGTTGCTTGAAAAACTACAACATATGTTGGGGATTCTGCACTTTGTGTGTTCGAGTTGGCACAGATCCCTGTCTGCACCTCCCATCTGTTTACATTGTCAGGTGCTTGATGAGGCGAGACCGCTCATTTGTCAAACAACATGTGGGATAACAGAAGTGGAGATGGGGCGGGTGTGTGCTTGTGTGTGTGTGTGTGGGGGGTAAGCAGCAGATAATGATTTTTCTGTGTGTGTGCATGTGTGTGTGTGTGTGTGTGTGTGTTCAGCGGTAATAAGGGGATAATTAGATAAGGGGAACTGTGCAGCCAAAAAGGTTAATGACAGTAATGAATATATTAGTGAAGAGGAGAGCAGGTTCTCTTTCCTGATGTGCATCTGCTCTCAAATCAGTGACTCCTTCTGGGGAATCCTGTGTGTATTCTGTTTGATTTATTCAAGACAAATAAATGTATGAGGTACAAAATAAAGAATCAAAATGTTTGGAAGACAACTGGCTATACTTTTATTTACTTTATTTATGTGCATTTAATTGCATACAGTTCTATGGAACAGATCTAAACCAGCAGCGATTGCACTTTTCCATCATATAAGCCTGGCTTTCAGAAAACCTCTGGCTTTTCTTTCAATATCTGACATCATGCACAAGAAACACATCATCCTCATGATTGCATTTATTAACATTTTGTCATTCATTATCACTCTAGTAAATAGTTGCTTTGGTGGGGAAAAAAAACAAACCCTTTGTGCTAATAAACTGTTCATCTTTGTAATCGAAGCAATAAAAAATAATTTTAGACCAAGAAAGCTGGCAACTTTTAAAAGTCTGGAACTTAAATGAATGAAAATGAACTTTTGTACCACAAAAGTCCACCAGCCTTCTGAAATGTCTCTGAACGTTTTTTTGTTATGTCTATCAGTACAGAATATGAGCTAATGTCCAGTGATCACATTCTGTTCAAGAGGTTGAAATGATTAATTATCTTAATGTCAAGTTGTATAACCACATTTTATCAGCTTGGAGTAGTTTTACAGATGAGCCTGGTAAAATATGACCTGCAGAAACACAGGACTATGAAGTCTGGATCCACTGGTGTGTCGATTGACAATCCTGACTAGTTAACAATGTTGAGCTTTTTGCTTTGCTTTTTTGATGTTTCAGGACCCAATTGGAAAAAATATTGGGAAAATATTTCTCTTTTTTACATTAGAGTGTGAAGAGAGATTTCATTCATTCAAATCTTTTTCCTCCCAAGTTTGGACCGCATCAGAAAACACAGACAGGAGGTTTGAGCATAGACGTAAGAGCGGGCGGGCGCTCTCCCAGTGCATGAGGGGAGAAGTGCTGTCACCATCTGGAAAGGTTAAGGGTCAGACAACAGGTCCAGCCCTGATGACATCTGGGACAGCATACTGTCCGTCGACACGCGCCACTTTCATGACACATATTGGCACATGTGTGTCATGTGACATCTCTATGTGCTTCACAATAGAGATGTTGGAGTTTCATTAAACTCTCTAAATACGTCCACCAGTGTGGTTGATGCTGTGGTAGTAGCAATGTGTGTTATTTTTACAATTTCCACAGGAACAATTCATTAGAGATCTGTAACAATAAATAAAATAGTTTAATATTAATGGACATTTTCTTATAAAACTTTAATATATGATCAGAAACAAGCTGTTTCTTAGTGAAAAGTCTTAGTGAGAGCATGTGAATCCAGTTGGTATTTAACCTCCTACTGTGCTATGCCACTTCTGCAGGCAAGAGGGCAGCAGTCTGCTATAGTATAGTATTTAGTAGGATTGTGCATGGAGAATTTTTTTTGTCTTGTTTTGTGAGCCACACTGGAAACTACTACAGTCCCTTAACTGTCGCCTTAGCTGCAATTACAAATGCAAGTCTTTTAGCATGTGCCTCTGGATGCTTTGAACATCTGGAGATGAGTGGTTTTGCACATTATTTGAAAAATAATTTAGTCACATTGGATGGATCACAGCAGCAGTTTTCAAGCCTGGAAAAAAGGGTGGCGATTCAGTTTAGATCTGGACTTTGACTAGGTCATTTTAATGCATATTAAACTTGATCTGAACCGTTTCATCGTTGCTCTCGCTGTGTGTTTGTGGCCTGTTGAAACTTCTCTGAAGATTGCTTAACATTTCAAAAACCTTCCCAACAACTCTGACCACCTTCCATATCCCTGCTAAAGAAATTTATTTCCACAGTATTATGTACAAATATTTATTTTTTACCAAATAAAATAATTTAAAGTTGTGTATGTTTTTCCTTCCACTTGACAATTGAGTACTTCATCATGCTGTCGTCTGTTACATGATAAAATGCAGTGTGAGAAAAGAATGCGAATACATTTGCAAAACGGTGTACATCGCACAGTATGCAGCACTTTTATTCTGTTTTGTCTTGAAAAGTTACCTTTTTCCCCACAAAAACCCGACACAAAGCTGCAGCGGGTTTAATACATTTCCTGAAAGGAAGACTTTGTGTTCAGGGTGACAGAGGAGTCTGAGTTCATTCAAAATTACACAGGATGATATATGTAATTGTTCTAATTAAAAGTGTCCTGAAGACAGCTCAGCTTGTCCCTAAAGATGTCTCTTAGAATCAGTTTAAGTTTACTGGGAAACTCTGGTGTTTGTGTAATGTGGGCTCAGGTCCAGTGAGAGGGAATCTCCTGGTCTGTGCTTATCTCTGTGACCGCTCAATCAGTTCTCTAGAAGGACGAGCCTGGATTAGTGACCGTTTTATAATGTGTGCTAATCTGGCAGATAAGCTTCATTAGGTTAGTTCATAATTCTCAATTTATATGTGGGGTAATGTGAGTCAAGCTGATACAGCACTCAGTGCTTTTAAAGGCCTTTTTTGCCAAAATTCGGACTCATTGCCCACATAGATCCTCCCTGCAGTTGAACGTAATTCACTCTTTATGTCAACAATCAAAACAGCCAAATGTACTGGAGTTTCAGGAGCTGGGGAAACTGGATTATTTTTGCATTACAGCATAAAAAACCTGACAGTCGAAGTTTCTATTAAGTGATCAAATCGAATTGGCAGTTTAATTTGACTGTCTTTGTGTGTTTCTCTGAACCCGCTGACATATTGATCCACACAATATTGAGATCTGTTTTATCGTTGCAGAATATTGACAGAGGTAATCTCAGACAAGAGCAATCAACAACAGATAGAAACCCATCATGTAAATCTTTGATGTCCACTGTGAGCTGCAAACAAATCAAATGCATTTTCATGGAGCAGAGCAACACAAGGATTTTGTTTATGGTGAA